TTGGAATGGAAAAAGTGAAGAATGTTGTTCAGAAGATTCGACTGAAGAAGGAAAATGAAGAAGATGATAATGATGGCAATGATGATGAGAGGAAGAGTTTAAGAGACACTTGAGACGAAGACTAAGTGATGAAAAATGAAGTAAACTCAACTTTTTTATTGGCCTTTTCCTTATTCTTCATCCTCTATTCAAATAACTATAATGCTTGTATTATACCGAGAAGCGTGTTCAAAGCCAATTAACCAGCGTACGTGAGGAACACGCGTTTGCGAAACAAACAAATGACCAACAAAATGATTATAAACAAGTTTCTTGTTCTCACTCAATCCCTTTGTGTGTACGTTTCCTCGACCAACTCCCAGTTTTGCCTTTACCTCATCCAAGTCAACTCTGGTCACTCCTTTTCTTGATATAATTTAATAACAAGCAAATGAAATCAATTTCATTTCAATTTCACTCTCATTCCAATCCATTTACAAAAGTCAAAGAAATTGTTTTTTCTTCAGAAAGAAAAACATATTCATGATCAATAAGATCAATTCAGTGAGTGCAGCTTCACCAAGTAAACCCATAAAAAGGCAATATTTACATTGAACCATAAAAGATGGAGATATCAATATACTGATTGTCAGTTAATGATCAAGGTTAACCCAATGGTCCAAGTGCAGTCTGTACAAAGTGTGTCATTGGATGTACAATAATTCAGTGAATAGACTTTTGAAGGAAAGAAAAGTTCTCTTTCTTCTCTGTTCACCTTATTTACATGGTAAAATTATTATTCATTGTTATATTTGAAATGGTCGTTCACTTGAATTACCAAATGACAATTGGAGAGGGAAGAAGAAAAGAGAATCTGAAAAGGAAAATCATCATTTAATAGATTATCTTGTTATCTAATGTAATATCATTGTTTGTTTCTTTTTGCTTCTTCACTGCAAGCTTGATACAAGGTTTGCCCATTACTTTGTAATTGGCCATTTCGAGGTTGTGTCCACTCTTGTTGTTCACCTTTCCATCAACGTTAAACATCAACTAACAAATCTTAATTTACAGCCAATTTTTTTAGCCTTCTTTGTCTCTCTCCACTCAACCCATTCAAAGACAAACATTTCACACCTTTTCTCAAACTAATCATGATAATCTTCTGGACAGTTCTTACCTGGCTTACCCAAAAGCAACAGTAAAAAAGGAAACCAAGAAACCCTTTTCTCTTGTTTTTGAATCCATTAGAAGAGAGGTTCTTAATGATTATTGGTATTAACCCAACAATACATAAACTGAGAGAAGAGGCAAAAAATAAAACCAATAACTGCCAATAACTTACCTTTTCTCAATTTACTTTTACCAATAATAAAGATAATAATAATAATTGTTAATAATTGATTGATGAACATCCCAAGAGTATCATGAATACAGGATACTTTTTTTTCATCTCAACATGTAACACAACTTTTCCTGGCAACATTGTAAAGTCATTTTGCTTTTCATGTTTTGCCCATCAAAACTTGTTGAGTTGCAAAAAAAGCGGAAAAATTAAAATTTCTGTTTCATTCTTTGATTGATCGATTAAAAATTTGGTTAAAAGTTGACCTCAAAGCGACTCGTGTCCATGAATGTCTATTGATTTAGCCTTAAGGTTAAATAATTTTGGTTATTACATGAAAGCAAATAGATTAATGAAATCACTTGCTAATCAAAAAGTTTCCCAATCAAGTGTTTACTTTGAAAGTCAATTGAAAAGTAAAAGATCAAATATTTAATCAAATAAAGTAAACATTGAGCAAATTGATGTCCATCAGAAGATAAATTTAGATTTTTTTTTTACTTTTCCAACTTTTTTGCCAGTTCTAACCTTTTCTCCTTAAAATGGTCAAAGATCATGAAATAACAATCAATCATTTTTTCCCTTTGAAAAGATGATAATTGTGTGTGAATAGAGCAGAGAAGAATCATTAACTCATAATCATCATTATCCATAACAAGTTAGTTACACTTGGAAAAGTGACACAAAAAGAAACACATCGATATCATGAATATGTTGAATTTCACACAAAATAAGATTAATTTTGAATCAATTGTAAACTTGTAATTGTTTTTAAATTGTTTTCCAACATTTTTCTTCCAATAAAATTAAACGATTAACTCGAAAAGTGTTTTCAACTCTCTTCAAGTGATAAACATTGTTTCAAAGCGATTCTGTTGGAGCAACAAAAATGCCCAAAACAAGTTGATGAAAAGACAATTTTCATTTCTCAAGTTTCCGCCCAAAAGTTTCATTAGTCAACTGATCAATAACTGTTGATGCAAAGGGCAAAAGAAATGCTAAAAACTGGAGAAGAAAAAAAATAATCTTTGATAGCTTTTTTACTCCCAGTAACAATGCAAATATTAATGATAAACAATCAAATGTTGTCTTTTCTCTCTTTCAGTTTAATGATAAACTCTTTCAATAACCTAAGGTCATTGTCAATGGAGTCCAATATGAACAAAAGGTTCGATACTTAACCTTTCAGATTACAGTTGAAGATAAGGTTCCAAGATAATGTTGTGATTATATCATTATCTGTTTATCTGATAACATTATCCTCATCATCATCACACGGGAATTGAGTTTTGCCTATCAATCCAGTCAATCCGATTTAATCTGGTAAAGGTAAACTTGGAATAACTTTTTTTTGTCTTCTCTCTCTTTTCGGATTAAGATTGTTACTCTTATTGTTCAATGGAAACAAATTATCAGATCATTTTCAGCATCAAATGTATTTGTTTAGATACTTAAAACTCCCTCAAGGTTGCTTCAGGCATTAATATCCATTATCAATGTTAAATCAGAACTTTTTTAAGCAAACATTCTTTTCCTTCATTTTTAGCTCTCAATTCCAAGTCTCTTTGACCAGAACACAATTTTGCAAATGTTGAACCTTTCATCAAGAGTTTAATCGAAATTGAAATTTTCTTGTTTTTCCTCTTGTTAAATGATCTTTTTTTAATCTTTGATTGTTCCATTTACAATGATTAGTCGAGATTTTGTGAGAGTTTGCTCAGAATTGGTTTCATTGTTGCCTTTCAGTCAATTTCAAGGGAAGAATGGAAAAGATGGAAAAGATGAAAAGGGAAAAAACATGAATTATAATGATTTGGATGAGAAAATAAAAGGCAAAAACAAAAGATTTCAATGATAATGATAATGTTGATCAGAATTGAATAACCGATAAGAGGATTAACTGATAAAATGAACAAACCTATTTACCTTTCAACTCAATTTTCATCTCATTTCCTATGTAACATTATCTTCATCATCTTTGAATAAGGAATAAGCCATTTTTTGTAACATTTTTTCCTTCTTCTCTCCACCATTTTGATTCCATTCTTCATCAGTCAACCTTAAATTACAACTTTGTTACATTGAACATTACAAAAACGGAATGACAAGAATCGCTAATGATAAACCAATGGAACAACAAAAAAAGGAGAAAAATGTAAAAATCTTTTTGACTTTAAATGATAATCGAGTAAAAAAAGTTACGATTGCGATCAACATTTGATTAACTTTTAACACATTGAAATACATGCAACAATCCAATAACAAGGGAAAGGTCAAGAAAGGCAAAGAATTTAGTTGAAAGAAGAAAAGATCATTTTGAGGTTGATGTTAATCAAATTGAGTGAATAAGAGGAGTGAGTGCGTAATGATGTAGAAACAAGGATAAAGATGACAATGATGATCAGAGGGAAGATGATAGATTAATAGACTCAAGGGTCGTGGTTACAGTTACCATCTGCTTTGTTTGTTGCGGTAAAATATGCAACATTTTTTGTTCACTTTTCATTCAACTCTTTCCAATTCAAGTTACACCTTCACATCCAATCAACAAAACCAATTGACTCGGCAAAAAACATCAACTTTTAATCCATGATAATGACAATGATTATCATGATTATAATGATTAACTTTGTTTCAAAAAGCAAACAAAACAAAATTCCAACTCATTAATATACAGATAATAATCTGACAATTTTTTCTCTTCACTCGCCTTCCATTAATTTGTGTCAACATTTTAACCATTTCATGCTTATTGATAATCAATTTGATATTTTTGTTTCCATTTTTTTCCTCCAATTTTGATTGATTTGAGAATTTTTCCAGACTTTTTTTTATTCCATTCAATGTTATCAAACTCCCAGTTATCGATAGTTTCGGTTGACGATATTAATTGTGACAAAGTTCTTGATGGAAAACTTTTGATTTGCTTCCCATGAAATTGATATTCCAAGGGAAAATTTTCTTCTTATAGGTTGCCCTTTGATCAGGTTTATTCGTCGAGAGTTTTAAAGATTATCTGGGAGTGAATTTTATGATTGAATAAGAGAATCAACTTTTTTTGAAATGATAATCATGAAGTTACCTATAATACACCGCAAGGGAGTTGTTGTGACATGAGAAGGATAAGTTTGAGATGTTAGTCCATCCTGGTTATCATCATGTTATAATCTGGTTTGTCTTTCTTCTCCAATTTCATGGGGAGCAGGAAAAGTCTCAGATTCTTTTTGACTGATTATAGTTCTTAGTCTTTGTCCTGAACTTGCAAGATTTCAGTTTTCTTTTTTTCTCTTTTTTTCCTTCACTATCATGATGAAGATGATTATCATTTTGAAAGCTCAAGTTGAAAGGTAAGAAAATGATAAGAAAGGAATGTTCTGAATGCTCTGATTATCAAATATTAAACGCATGCTCAACTGAACACTAGTTTATATTTGTTTCCATGTAAGCCTTGTCATGATATCTATTTAATCCTTGGAGACCAGCTCATGATGAACAAGAGAAGAACATGGTAAAAGAAGAAAAAATCGATTCAACCTTTTCTCAGAGCTTCGCCAGCATTTACCTTCATCCTCATCCTTCATCATCATTCCATTTTCTTCTCTATAATCATTCCATCCTGAACACTGAAACCTATTTGCTCAAGTTTGAGAAATAAATGGAAAGTCAATTTGTCGAGTTTTTTTGTTTTAATTTTTTTTCACATTCTTTTATTTTCATATTAACATTGTGAGCATTCTGAGGTTGTTAGCAATCAGGTAATACAATTAGTTTTGATTGAAAGGGTTCAAAGACGGGTAAAAAGGGAAACAAAGGAAAAGGTAAATTAGGCAATTACAATTGATGGATAAAAATGAATGAACTCTTCTTTTGTCCGAACAATTATCTTCCCAGGATTTTTCATTCCAAGTTGAAAGATTGATTGATAAAAAGTTAGGAATATTTAGTCTTGTTTTTTGGTTCATTTTTATGCGTGAAATTGGTGAATGGATAAGTGTAAGTGTTTTTTGGCAAACCAGTTTTGTTGCTGTTGTTGTATCAGCTTTCATCGTTTTTTGTTTTTGTTTACTTCAATTACAATTGTCTAATCATCAGAATCGGACAAAACTTGAATTTTTATTTATATTAATATTTATATTTATATTATTTATACTTTATAATATATATTGAGATTCGCCTCTAATTTCATTTTTTCAACATTTTCTGTTCTTATGGCTTGATACGGCCTGTTGATAGGGTTTGTCTTTAAATGGGTTGATAGTTAGTAGTAATTGTTGTCCATCATTTTCAGTGTTTGTGGTGAAGATGAGGTTTTTGTTGTATGAAGCAAAAGGCTGTAAAGATGAGTATACAAGATGAAAAGGTGTAAATAACGAGCAATGACTGGGAGTGATTCCAACACAAAAATGATTATCATGATTGGGAGTGAAAAAAATGCAACAAACCTGGGAAATGGTTGTACAAAAAGGTGAGCAATTTGAGGGGAAATGTTTGGACTTTTGTTTTTCTTTTGCCTTTTTTGCCTTGTTCTGTTTGCCGTTTTTGCCCATTTTGATGATGAGGATGATGAGGATGATGATGAATGTGAAGATGAAGGTGATGATATGGATCTTGGCTCATTTGTCTATTTGCTTTACTTTTTTCTTTCACTAATCGATTTTGTTATCCCGTCATGTTTCCTGGCCCATTGACGGCTGAATATTTCATCCTTTTCTGCTTTTGCCTTTGATTGCAGAACCAAACTCGAACTACATTTTTCTTTAAGTCAAGTTTCTCGGCTATTGCGGCTATCTTTTCACCAGACGGCCTGGGCTGGGTGTTAAAGTATGCTTCAAGACACCGTTTCTCTGGTGCTGCTATTGACGTTCTTTTGCGCTTCTTATCACTTGAAGGTAACACTGAGGGACAGTCGTGAGCACCTTCACGGCCACGTACTTTACGTGCTTGAGCTTCAGCAGCTTCCAGCCAGGCTTGGAGTATCGGTTTAAGGGCAACCATGTTATTATGGGAAAGCGTCAATGATTCAAATCTAATTTGATGGGAGAAACAAACAAATGATTTACATTCAAATGGACAAATAATTATCTGTTTCACTTGGAAATGATGAGAAAATCAATAATTGTTATTCATAAATTTAGTTGGTTCAAAGGGACTTCTCGAGGTTTATTAAAGCGATAAATGATTTAAGTCTGTCTGGACAAAGCAAAATCTCGAGCATTAACTTGATTAAATTCATTTGGTTAACACTGAAAAACAAAATTTAAATATTTGCTTTCTGAAAACACGAATTAAAACGTATTTTTTGAATTTCTTATCCATCGATAGAACAAGCAAATCTTATCGAGAACATCTCGAAAGAACAGATCGAGATACAATACGCATCAATTACAGAAATGACAGAAATTAAATTTATTTAAATTTTCTTAACATTTTGAAAGATAATTACGAGTTTACAAGAATAAAAACTTGATCTCTGAACTCATTTATTGCAGCTGTTAATGAGTATTAACTAATGAGTATTTTAATCGTTATATTTCATTTCAATTAAACTTTTGAGGCGAAGATTTTTACATTTCTTGAAAAGTGTTTCTTTCTCGAATAGTTCTAAGTTAACTTACCGACAAATGGTGCTTTGAGAGAGCGATCCAACACCGGGTAACTTGAGGTTGGCTAGAGCTCGACCCACATCAGCCTGAGTTACTCCGAGCTTGATTCGACGTTGTTTAAACCTTTCAGCGAAAGCCTCCAATTCCCTTGGATCAGCATCTAACAGACCAGGATCACTTGGTGTGTGATGAGGTGGAGTTGAGGTGGCAAAGGCATGATGATTATGATGGTGATGGTTGGCTGTGTGCACTGTTGGATGATGATGATGATGGTTTGGATGAAAGGGTGATTGCATTGAATGAGCAGCTGCTGCGGCTGCAGCGGTAATGGGACTTGCTGCCGAATGATGATGATGATGGTGATGATGGAAACCGGGAATCATTCCGTTCACTAAAAACGATTCATTATTATTGTACGAACACTGGGAAGAAAGTTCACGAAGCCCATTAACACCGGGTCCAGTGTGACCATGGTGTCCATGGCCATGAGGGCCACTTGTACCACCAGGTGAACCAGCATAGTCACCAGGACTACCACTAGTGGAACCACTACCATTAGTACCACTTCCACCCCCACCACCTCCACCGACACTTGCACTCCCAGTACATGAACCATTTCCATTGGTCCCATTGCCACTATTGCCTGCACCTTCACTTACACCATTAGTTGCACCACTTGACCTAGAGACTGTGTTGCCACCGGTTGAACCGTTGCTCGATGAGTTGGTGTTGCCAGTGTTGTTGCTATTAGCGTTTGTTGACGATGCTGTCTGATAATTAAATCCATTCCAATCAATTGATCCAGCTGGATTGGCCATGGTGAATAAACAGTTGAGTACACATTCTCGATGAGACATTTAGTCACATTTAACTACAAATCTCTGCTTTTACCTTTTCGCGTTTTTACCTTTTCAAGAGTTTAACCTTTTCCAAAATTTTCATCTATTTACTTTCGATAATCACAGATTCACTTGACACACAACTGTTGATGAAAATTACATTTTAAATATTGAAACATTTTCCCCTTTTTTCATGGTGTTATCTGTTTCTTTTCCCAATCAATAAACTGAATCGTATAAAAACTGCTCTTGGAAACAAACACAAAAATAATTATCTTTTTTTTTCTTCTCGACTTTTCACTATTGTTGACAAATAATGATGATAATGATGATTAAGATGATTAAGATGATGAACAATGAAGACAATCAGATGATGCTGATTATTATGATGAACAATTTTTTCTCTTCTCTCTTTATTCTGTGTGATTTTTAAATGTAACTTGTTTATTGAATGAAAAACAAAATGAAATTGATGATGAAAATTGAGGTTAACTGGAGCATCGCCATTGCCCATGCTTATTGTGCTATCCAAAGACAACCCGAAATAGTTTGATATCAGCCAATCCCAGTCAACTTATAGGATCTTCTCATTCAGTAACCATTCATTCATCTTCTTTCTCTTCACCAATTTATTATCATCATTTTTCTTCCTCATCCAATTCACATTTCAAGTCCATAAAATGTGGAAAAAAGTTGCTTCTTTATTCTTCTTCTTCTTCTTTTCTTTTCATTTCAACCTTAACTGTAATGAAACATAAAAATTTACAGTTTGGGTGCAACTCATTCCACTATCAATTAGCACAGTTTTTACACCAAATCTAATCAAATGTTCAAGACTCAAAATGAATCGATCCAATGATGAATAAAAATCAAAAGTAAAGTCGATAAAAAAGCGCAAAACAATGATTGAATGTTGATTACTGTCAAACAGTTGTCACAATCAAATGTCAACTCATCTTTCAAAGTTGATCCCAAGTGATTCAGTTTTCATTCAAATCACTGCAACACTGACAATAAGGTAAAAATGGTTAATACACTCTTCACATAATGGTTAATCACAGTTGGAGGTAAACCGAATCATTTTGAGGTCACTTTTTTCAAGTTTAACCAAAAACTAAAAAACCAAAGGGATTTGGCGACAAGCAAAAATAGACAATTTCAAAGTATCATTTTAAAATTTCAACAATCAATTTAAATCGCAAAGAGAGGGAAAAGAAGTGAAGAAAAAGTTGAAAGCAATTATCCATTTATTTTGTCTAAATGATACAACAACATGATACGATCATCCCAAAGGGTCAGTTGATCAAGTTTGGCTTTTTGTCTTTTCCTTCGCTTCCTTCAACTTGTCAACCTGACTTTTTACTTGACCTTATGGCCCGACTTGCTTTCCAATGTTGTCAATCCCAGCAGCAGGGAAGGAAGGAAGGAAGGAAGGAAGATAATGATAGCAAGACTGGAAATGATGAGGAGTGAAGGTGAGGATTACAAAGTGAATTAGTTGCTCAGTTTCTCAGTCCATTCAGAACTAAATCATTATCGCTTTCCCTTGGTAATTAAACATTGTTAATCTTGCTTAATGGTAAAATAAAGGTTAACTCTTTAACAGGGAAAACGCGTAAAAACAAATAAAAGCCAATAATAAAGACAAGTATCAATATTCAATAAATTTTATTAACTCTTGTTATTTGTTTTCCTTGGTTCACTTTTTTTGCCTTCTTTTATCACCAAATATTATTATTATTATTATTCATTTTCACTCCCAGTTTGGAGTTTTTTTCCTCTTCTTTTTTTTCTCAATCTCTTTTCAAATGTTAACTTTTGTCAATCCCAAATGAACCATTTCCATTGATACAAACAATCATATTTACTGTTGTTATTGTTATTACCATTGTTATTACAAGTAAAAACCAAATCGTAATCAAATTAAATGGCAACATATTGTGACAGGTTAAGAGGCTTTTCACGCAATTGATTAAGATTAATTTCCATGTTGCTCATTGTTCATCTTATTTAATTAGATTTGCATACTTTTTATACTCTCCTTAATCATCAAGCCAATGTTGAGTTATCATTAAAGTTGCCTTTTTTATCCAATTTAGTTTGGATTACATTTGATTGTCCAAAAGTGCTTCTTGATAATCATTGTACTTGACTTGTAATGATTCAAAAAACACTAATTTTTGGTCAACATTTCGCTCGTTAGCATGAACATGGAAACACATCATGATGAACAATCGGATTTGATTGGAAAAAATTAAATTTCGTTGAAAGGGTGTTTTTGTTGAACAATATTCATTTGTATTAAAGTGGAAAATGTTTCAATTGAAAAGGTTCACTGTTAATCATTAATGAGAATCAGGTATAAATATTAATAATAATGATAACTCTTTAACTTTTGATTTGATAATGATGTTGTTTAATGGTACAAAGTGTAAAGTGAGCTTCTCTCTCAACCTTTTGTCAACCAGTGGAAAGGGGTGAAAATAAGACAAATAATATAATTTATCAACAACATTAATTTTGTTAAATTGTTGATGAGCTAATAATGAATTTTGTATAAATGTTTTACATTGAAAGGTGAGAGAAAGGTAAAACAATGAATCGAGGTAAAACAAAATCAACAAATTTTACCAATGAAAAGACAAGGTAATGCATCAGCAAAATAAAAGGTAAAAATCGTGAACCAAATTGGAGTAAAGATGAAAACGAGCTGCAAAAAATTCCATAGATGATGATCACCATTATCATCATCATCAGTATAATGGTGATTCAGGTACCAGCTGCTCTAACCTGCTTACAGTCAATGAAAACAAGGACTGACTGACAACGCCCTGGGAGTCGATATTGTTTAATATCATTGATTAAACTGAAGGATGGAGATAAACATAATGTTGCTTTCAACTTTATCCCAATCGACATTGAAATTAATTTAAATATCGAATAAATTGTCGACAGAAAATGATAATTACTTTTTTTAGTTCTTAATGAATGAGAAAAGCTTTCTCTTTACTCTGTTTATTGAACCCTAAACCTTTGCCTAACCTCAACCCAGACAGAGCGAGGTCTAGGTTGAGGTTCACCTCCAACCAAGCGAGTCACGAGTGAAGATTTTTTTGCTTCTCTTTTCTTGTTCTTCTTGACATTTGTACCTTTACCTTCATCGATTAGTTTTACATTTAAATGGACCTTTTAAGGTCAGGTAATAACAGTTAACGTAATAGATATTAAATCAGCTATTAATTGGTGAAATAAATGATCTTTACTTTTGTTGTCTTCTGTCTAAATGTACCAAGTGTGTTCACTTTATGCTTCATGATCATTGTCATCCTTTTCATATTAATTCACTCCCATGTATTTAATTTAACCTGTAATTAAGTAACCTCATTAATTGCAGGTTCACTTTCACTGTTAGATGCATTAATGAATTGGAGGAAAAGAAGAAGCAAGAGTAAAGTTAATTGTAATTTAATATGCATGTTGATAATTTTGGCCAATTTTAGTTTTCCTTTTTTCTCTCAACTATTTTTTTCCTTCTTTTCTAGCAATTTTTCATTCGACTTCATGATTGTTCACTGATGCTCAATGTTTCAATGGTTCAGTGTGATTGATTGAATGTTGTCTTCAAATATTGTAAACAAAAAGGTAAATGATTATTTAACTTTTATTACAAAATCAATTTGATTTGTTGGACAAATTTTTTTTGCTGTCCTTTTATTTGTCTGTTGAGGTTTCATATTCATCGATCATTGTCAACAGTAATCATGATAACGATAACAGTGATGAGAATGATGATGGAAAACAGCAATTTGATCAATATTAAAGTGACTACTGTTGGCTCTTTTGTTTGTCTTAATCATTGTCATCAAAACATTGTTGATACTTTGATTTGATTGATGGTTAACCAAATAAACAGCAAACTTGATCGTTTTCAATGTGATCATTGATAAACCAGAGTCGCCATTGACACCTTTTCATGCTTTACTTTTAATTTTACAAACAATCAAAATATAGATTGAATCATGGAAATCGATTCGATATTTTGTTTTCTAGTTTTTCCTTCAACTGGTTGGGTTTCATGAAGATGATGAGCAAAGATAATCTGATGAAGATGAAAATGTATACGACATTTTGCTCAGCAAAACGTAGCTCATACTAATGACTAAACCTGTAAGTTACTCATCTTTATCTTCATCTTTTACTGTTTTCACTCATTTTTCTTTCTTCCTCCTTTCTTCTTGTTCATTTTGTTTATCACATTTCTTTTCATCTTCACATAGTAATAGAGAGAGGATGAACATCATCTTCTAGTTGCAAGAAGATGATGATGGTAAAGATGATTGAGGTTTGAATTTTACATGAGGATAGAAAACCTTATTTCCCTGTTCGATATCAAAAACCAGAGTGAACATTCATTTATTTCTTTCTTTTTCTCTTTCTGTCTCTTTCTTTTTTCCCTTTTTTCTTCATCATCTTCATCTTCATCTTCATCCTCTTTACTCTTTTTTTTTAAAAAAGCATAAAAACAAAGAGGAAACACTAAACTAAAGCTGCAATGAGCTTTACTTGACTGGAAAGACTTGGGTTTTAACACTCGTTTTGGTTCCTTATTTAACTTAATCACATTTGTAGGGAAACAACAATATGTAACCCTATAGTTGGATCAAAATGTGACTATATCATTATGTTAATGGTTTTAATGTTAATTAACACTTGTAAAAGGTTACAATTGAAAATTTTGTCATTACCGGGTTCAGTGTAATACTTTAAAGTATCATTAGATGTCATTAGCTTGGTTTTGATTTAAATAAAGCTTCTTTATGTAAGGCGCGCTTTTAAATTTATTTGTTTTAACTTACAATTATGACCATCGTCTGATCAACAATTGTTTACCTATTTCAAGTTGTTAGCTATATTTTAAGTGTTTTTATATAAATGAACGCTTTAATACTAATTTTTAGTGGCTTTATTGTGGTTCGATATTGCTGATATTCTTTGATCCAACTTAAATCGATTGGATAAAAACGAACCTACAATAATGGTATATCTCAATTATAGTGATTGTGATGCTGTTGAATTGGCATAACGAGATGACTGGTTTGAAGCAATTAAACTTTACCGAAGAATGGTGGCTTTACATCGACTCGTCCATCACATAAGAGATATAATCAAATGGAAGAGAAGAGAGATGATTTATTCTGAAAAAAGATTTACCGTTGGTTATGGAGGAGTTATTTCTGAGTCATTGGTACCTTGGAAGCGTTTATTTGAACAATTGTAGCTCTTTCTCAACGTCTAAGACCCAAGGTATTTGGTGGACCTCCAATTATGCACGAAGATGTTAAGATAGCTGCTGAAAATATTGGGATGTGCTTGAAAGCCAGATTCTATGCTTGGGATCGTGAAAAATTTCAAAAAATGTCTTATTTGGCAAGATTCACGGATGTGGTGGAACCTTTAATTTTAATACAAACTCAAGTACTTTCATTTCTTCGTCAGACAATTGGGTGTACCTGGAATTGTAAACGTCTTTTGGACCGTTTTTGAACCTTAAATCAAGAATACTAGACATTTCGTATAACCTGTTGAAAGTGACTTTAAAATGTTTCTAGTCTTCATTTATTTAATAACATTGGTACATATTAAGGTTAACTGAGAACATATCGAGAAAGCAAAACTGTTTTTCCAAGTGATTCTCTCTAATATTATATTTATAAATGTTTAGTGATGTCTTATTAATTCATTGGGGAAACCTCATTAATTATGAAATGACTTTATTCATTATGAATAAAAGTTAGTCTCTCGTTTCTGCCTTACTACCTTTTCATCTTGTCTCTCCCATTTTAATACAGTTCATGTTTAACTCATTTCATTTTGATATTGTAACCTTCATCAAGGCCGCTATGAAATAAGGTCAGTAGGAATTGAAAAACATAATCATTTATAATAATGTTCATTAAAGGTTTATAAATTATTGTTAAACATTATTACATTGTGTTAACTAACTGATTACTAATGAACCATGTTCATCCTCAAGTTGCTATCATCAATGACTTTATTACAAGATTGATTGAACGAAAAGGACAATACAAAATTATGCTGATTACATTGAATCAAAATTGCAATTTTTTACAATATGTGGTCAATAAACTCGAAAGGCTATATCTATTTCAAGATTATATTTCACTTATTTCAGAAAATTAATTAATTATTAACCTTCTTACAAATTTTCTTTTCAAATTTGCCTCTCAATATAACCAGCAAACAAGAAAGCGGTTAAAGTAACTGGTAACCATACTTGGCTGCTTTTCTCTAACCAAGTGATCGGTTACTATTCGGTAACACAAAGTATTTCATTTAATTTTCAATGCGTGAGATGGCGTGATGAGCGATAATGGAGCCATGGTTACATTTTAGCGGTAAAAGTTCGATTAAAAAAGTAGAATTAAGAGTTAAAATAATACATTTAGTGGTTAATTTATTGAAGTTTTATTAAATTGTGTATAATTATTGTTTTAATTTGTTTTCTCCTAAAATGAGTAAAAAAACTGGTCTTTCTAAAGAGGAAAAAGCACGCCGTGCTTTGGATTATCTTCTATCATCTAAAAGTGTTTTTCAATTGAAAGAGTTGGAAAAAATCTTACCTAAAGAGAAAGGAATTGTTGCCCAAACAGTTAAAGATGTCATCAAGAGTCTTCAAGATGATGACTTGCTTGAAACAGACAAGATTGGAACATCAACTTACTTCTGGGCCTTTGCAAGTAAAAAAGCGGAAACTATGAAGAAAAAGGTGACAAATTACGAAGAAAAGATTGAAAATTTAAAGAAAGATTTGGCAGTGGTCGATGAAGAATTGGAAACAACGGCAACTGATGATTTGGAGGAAAGAAAGACAAAAATGCTGGAATTGAACAAACTAGGACTTAAGAGGGATCAACTTAAAGCGAAATGGAACACGGTTAAATTCAATAATCCAGAGTATATTGACGAATTGAATAAAGAGATAAAAAATGAAAAAAATGAAGCAAACAGGTGGACAGAGTATATTGAAGTTATACGTGATTACTGTCGAAACAAATTCAATTTGGAGCCAGCAGACTTCAATAAACAATTCGAGTTAGAGGAAGACTTTGATTATATTGAATAGTTTTTCCTCACAAATTTTCAAAATTATTTAGGTGAATACAAAAAATCTATTTATTATAACTTTACATAAATTTATTTGGCAGAAATTAAGATCTACATTACATCACAACCATTGTGATTGACTATTTGCAGATAAATCCAGTAGTCGCCAAGCAGCTTTAGGATTAAGCTCCTCTTGATCTCGACATAAAACCCAGACATAGTGAAATCTGAGAATCTTGTCCTGTAAAAATATGTAAACAAATCGTTAAAATTATGTAAAATAATAGTAAAAATAAAATAATATTTAATACTTACAGGATCCCCTTCAATGACATTACCAGAACCATCTCTAACACACATAATTTGTTGAGTTTGAAAAGTAATTATTAACACTGGTCCTTGTTCCATTATTTGACCCATAGCGAGCTGAAATACAAAACATGAATTGATTAACAAAGGAACTCCATGCAAACATGATTCTTCTTACATCAACATGGGAAATATCTAAAACTTTGGAATCCAATTTGTAACCTAATTTCGTGGCTGTATCGATTGGTACTTTCAATCTACTATAGGCCTGAAAAAATGACAGTTCATTAATAAAGGTTCATTTGTTGTTGAAAGTTGATAAATACCGATTCATGGCACCAATCTTGTAGTATTTCTAAATCACCTCTAACCATGGCTTCTAAAATGTTTGGTATAATGTCAACTTCACACTCTCTTAAAAAACTAGCCTTGTCAAAATTGGGGTCCATTTTACAAATTTCTGTCAAAGCCTCTGAAAGCTCGGTTTTACGAAAAACTCCACCAAACATATCGGCTAATTTGTCAGTGACCAATCTCGATGCCCTAACGATCGGACTGTCACTCTCGTCGTATTTCATTTTCCAATCAAAAACTTTGTTAACGTATTGGTTATTTTCCTTGAAATTTTCCCAACTTTTATACCATTTACTGTCTTTATGGAGTTCAACCCCAGTTGCTTCACTGTCAAGAAATTTTGAAAACGGTTTAATTAATGGAACGATATAAAGAAACTAAATCTAAAACAATAATCAGAATATCTTCTTGATCAAGGTAGGTTAAAATAAACGTACGTATTGACTTCGATGGGTTTATCTGAAGCATGTAACTGTTCTGTCCTTTTTCTCAATTTTTTGGGTGGTTTATAAACTGAGGGTCCAGAAATAGTAACATCTTCAACTTCTTCTTTGATAGCTTTGACACCCTGTTAGACAAAGAAAAAGGGGTTTTAACTGATTGTCGTTTTCAGATCAAATCTAATTACTTACCTCACTTACGGCTTTAAAAGCAGAAGCATCTCCTAATTGTTGGCCTTGTTTGGCTAATTGCTCAGAAGCTACTCTAGCTTGTTTGACAATTTCTTCACCAACTTTTAAACCTTGTTTACCTAAATCACTTTTACTTGCTTCCTCGATAGTTTCTCGGAATTTTTCTTTCAACGATTTGAATTGCTCTTTGACTTTTTCAGAGCCTTTCGTTGTTTCGGCCTCAATTGCTTCCTGAAACCAAATACAAATTTAGGTTTAAATATGGATAGTGGACAAAACATAAAAGGGTAAAAACTCACAAACTTTTCTCTGGCTTTTTTCAGTGCATCAGATTCTTCTAATTTTTGAGCTTCTTCTCTAAATTTTTTTATATTCTCTTTCATTTCTTTATTCTTGGCAATCTCTTGTTTGATGTTGTCCAAAACTTGACCGAAAAATCCTTTTCTATCCGATGAGAAATGTCTCTGTTGAAAGAAAACAATGACCAAGTCATATTTCAGAAAATAATTAAGATTATAATCAGTCATATAAACACGAAATCAGTCTAGAAGACAAGTAAACAGTATTTTCTATCAAGAGTTTGACAAACCTTATAAACACAGTAATGAGGTCCATTGATTGCAGATGCTTGACTAATCACGGGACTCAAAAGATGATATTGATTTCTGGTAAAATTTGAATACAAACGGCAACAATTGCTATAGCGAATCTGTTAAATGGAAAAGACCGGTAAAGGCATGGTAAGTGCATGTAATTCACAAGGACATCAACAAAAAATATCACCGAGAAATACTTACAGCGTTATACATGATCAATCAATAGATTTTCCTAATTTCAACCCTGATTACACTGAAAAGCAACAATTGTAAGAATTACATAGATAAATTAGATAAACAAGATTAAATCATGAGAGATTTAAATTTTTACATGTGATTTTAAGTTAAAAAATATTGGCCTCATGTAACACTAGAGTTGAGCGAATCCAGTTACCAGTAACTGGATTTGGGTATCTGTTTTGGATCTGTTATCTGGACTCGAATGTAACCAGTATCAGGTTTTGTTTGTCATTTATTTACCATCATTTTGTTAGGCATTACGTTGTTTTGATTTTTGATTAATTTTGGCTATTATTTATTGTTTTTCAACAATTATTTGTTAATTTTACTTTTCACTGTTTCTTTGGCCTCACTTTGATATTGAAACAGGTGAGTTAACCATATATTTTAGTGTTAAATGGACAACTGTAACTCAACACCTTTTTTTGTCTATCTGCAGGATTTAGATTGACTATACTACTTGGATTTACTCACCTAATTTTTGGTGATTGAGATCAAGTTGATGATGACCCATTCATCTGATTCAGGAACGGTTGCCAATGTTCCTGCATTTCTTACTAAATTGTGGAAATTAGTTGAAGACCCTAATTACGATCACTTGATACACTGGTCTCAAAATGGAAAAAGCTTCATTATCAGTAATCAAGGACAATTTGCAAAGGAGTTACTTCCTTTGTACTTTAAACACAACAACATGGCTAGTTTTATAAGACAGTTAAATATGTATGGATTTCGTAAATTGACCAACATTGAGAATAGCGGTCTTCGATCTGAAAGAGATGACATTGAATTCTACCATGTTCATTTTGTGAAAGACCAAGAAAGCTCATTGGAGCTGATAAAAAGAAAAATTAAGACACCTCTCCAAGTATCAGCAGCCAAGAGTATCGATGAAAATGAAGTACGCCACGATGATGTGGGCTCCATTTTGGTGGATGTTAAAGCTATCAAAGGCAAACAAGATACTGTTGACAATATTTTAGTGAACATGCAGAAAGAGAATGAAGCCTTGTGGAGAGAAATAGCCATTCTCAGGCGCAAATACCAAAAGCAACAGCATATTGTTGAAAAGCTACTCCAATTTTTGCTTTCATTGGTTCAACAACGAGGTATTGGAGTTAAGCGTAAATCACCTTTAATGATTGGCCTGAATGAAACTAGTGACGCTAATGGAGAGTTCAGTAAGTCAAAGCGACTAGCTAAAGATGATCAAATGGATACATTAAACTCTTCCCTGGGTCCACTTATTTTCGATGTGTCTGATGACATGATTGAAGAAGAATTAGAAGCAACGGCTAATAATTGCCCTATTATCGCCACAGCTGAGCTGAGCCCGTTGTGTGTTAAGTCTGATAGTCCAGTTGATAATATTTTAAACTCTGATCAAATAGTCGACTCCAATGACGCGGTTGAAGCTCTGCTCAATCCAATTCAGTCTGTCATCGACTCTTCCATCATGGCACCTGACATTGATGAAACTGTACAACTAAATGGAAACTCAAACTTAATTGATGATTCTGTTACTTCAATTGATGATAAAGCAGTGGAAGCTCTTTTTAATCCCGCAATACAATCTGTAATAGACTCATCTTTAGCTTCAAATAGAGGAGCTACTCTAGGATACGATGGGACAAACAAATCAGCCTCGCCGATTCCATCAACATCCACTTCAGCCTCTTGTACCTCAACCACTCCCTCTAACACAATCATTGACCATCCTATTATGTCTCTAGATTCAACTGATGATAATGTTGTAGCATTACTGGATCCACTTCAATCTGCCATTGAATCGTCTATCATGCAACCAACATCAGATTTAACGTCAACAAGTAATATTTTTAAAAATGAATTAACACAAAGTAACGCAGACATGATTGAACAATCGATGGCTTCCATGGGAAATGATGATGGGAATGTTGATGCGCTCTTAGGGTCATTACAATCTCTCCCTCTCACTATCTTCGATTTAGACTCAATCTCGAATAATTTCGTATAAAAAAGCACATAAAAACTCTAATCGATAATTGGAAAGAACAACAACAAGCTGAAGCGCAAAAATCAACAAACAAGCAAGGTGAAAAATGAAAACGATTGCTGACAAATCGGTTTAATACCTAATGATAACTTTCTTTCTCTTTCTCTCTCAAATATATATATAATAAGTTACCCAACTGTATACATAAAATATTAATAACTTGGTTTTGATTATATATCACCTCTGAATCATGTGTCACTATCATTATACTGGTAAACTAATTCAAAAAAATTGAGGAAAAGAAAGAAGCAAGATTATGAGCAAAAGGGAGAGAGAGACACCATAAAATGAACTCAATCCAAAACAGATCTTAACTTGAAACAAAAATGAATTCAACTGACTGTTAACGAAATTGGTTCAATTTCACTCAGCGTTATCTGTGATCTTTAAATTCGCTTCTGTAATGCATCCAACCTCATTTAGAACTCCGTTTTCTTTCTTAATTTTTCTGTTGAAGCATTTAAATATATTTCAAGTCTTGATTCATATCATAATTAATACTCATTCTTTCAATCTCAATACACGATTCTAACAATTGTATTAATTATCTTGTTAAGCTGTCATTGATTTCCTTTCTACTTTCATCTCAATTCTATTGTAAATCTCATTTCTTTTTATAGTACAATCTAACTGTGATTTATCATTTAACTCCTCTGTAGCTAGTAAATAAATTAAATATCTGGCGACTTACTAACAACTAAAACATGAAAAAGCAAACATTTAACTTAATTTTCCAATTAAAAATGAAATCCATTAATCCGTACATTAACTAATCGATTATGCATCCAGTAATTCTGATTATCAATTTAGATTAGCTGAAGTAAACCTTGAAGGTTTTTATTTAATGGTAATTGTGGGCATAAAAATATCAACAATGTAAATTGAAACTTAAATGTTTATGAGAACAAGAAAAGCTATAGATTTTGATTGAAACACAGCATTTTTTATTTCAATAAACTGACTGAAAATGTAATTTACTTGAATTTATCTAATTAAGCTTATTAATAGGTTTCAGTTTACAGATATAAGTTAATCAATGTTTAAGTGTAACCAACAATTGTAAATCAAGGTTTTCTTCGGACAAATTTTCTGTACATTTCTTATTTTTATCTGGCAATCGATTAAGTTGACAATGAATGAATTGATCAACAATCAGATATTGGGTTACATTTGATCTCCCTTTTAATACTTGATTATTGATTCAATTGCATCAGCCATTATCAATAATGCACCGAGACATGATCAGTTTTACCAAATTCATATGATAGTAAACTGTTTCAATAATGCCTAATTGTTATTCAACATCAAATATACAAAAAATAGCAACAATGATTTGAAGCTTTCAAAAATATAAATGGCATGAAAAGCAACAGGATTGTAATGACAATCATCAATACTGCACTTGTTTAGTTGATTAGTCTATCCAAGTACAGCTGTAATGATAATCAACTGATTGAATTCAGATGAATTTAATTCTTTCAAGTTGACAAAAGATCTAAATTTAATCAAAAATTGACTAATCCAGTGTTTTCCTGTGTTTTTTCAACCAACAATCTGAGCTTCCCTTTCAACATACAACAAAATCACTGATGAAATCCTCTTTAGTAAAATAAATCTAGTCACAGGATATAAAAAATAATTAATTTGGTAAACCTTAAAACGCTAATCAATTGAAACCGCTGATTTAGTCTCGTACAAGTCAAGGTAAAAGACCAGAAAGAGGTAAACTATTTGTAAGTGATTAAGTCCTTGTAACTTACATGGTAACCAACAACAAGAAAATAAGTGAATAAACAAATAAAGGGTGATGAAAGGTGAAAGAAAACAAAAATTACCAGAAAAAAATGTAACCAGATGAAATGCTATCTGATTATTTCATCAGAATCTTTAACCTTTTCCTTTCCAGACACGATTCTCAATCCATTCAAACTGAACAATATCTACATGTAATACAAAAGGTTAAACTCTTTCGAACCGGACTCTTTCTCTTCTTTCGATTTCACTTTCCTCTTCAATTCTCTGTCTATCTTTTTGGTAAACTTTCTTTCTCTCTCTGTTACCCAATTTTGTCTCTCTGTTTCCCTTACCTCTTTCTTTTTTGTCTGTCTTTTTTCCCTATGCGCAAGGCTGACCCGGATTCTAGTCAGTTTTCAGTTGATATTCTTGTATTCGAAAGTGAGTTTAACATTTTATCCTCAGTCAGTTCGATTAATGAAAACATTTCCAAATTTGAACAATCAACTGAAATCTTGTTTGCTTTTATTTTGTGCCCTTTTCAACTCTTCTTTGGGTCACTGGTAACATCTAGTGTAACTTACATCATCCGATCTACGAGAAGTATCACAAGACAAGTGAAAGGTTACACTTTGATTGAAGGTTAATCAACATAGACTATAAAAGCCATCGTTTATATTCACTTGTATCATCGTTTATTAAATCATTTACATCATCGACATTAACCATCATCAGTTATATTAGTTTCAGTGAACAAGCAAGAGATAATTGAACAAAATTGTGTGATTAAAAACGGTAAATTATACTGTAACTTGTGACCATCGATTCTGGTTAAACTCTAATTATTCTTCTAATAGATGGTGTTATTGTTTGTTTCATTTTAAAAATGAATTTCATTTGTTGTGTTTCCCTTTATAATCTTTGACCAATTGTCACAATTAACAATTAGTCTTTTAAAGTGTTTTTAATCCATTATCTTTCAGTTTTTAAATTTATTAATGCCGCTTTTACCAAAAACACCTTCTCTACAATCTGAACTTTCTCCTGAAGAAAGGCTAGACCGAGTAAAGGCAATTTGCTCTTGCCTCGAGTTGAGCGATGAAAAGTTGAAGGAAATTATGGCCACATTGGAGGCAGAGTTTGAACATGGATTGTCAGATGAAGCTGAAGCTACAATTAAAATGTTGATAACTTATGTACGAGATATTCCTAGAGGTGATGAAAAAGGAATGTTCATGGCTCTTGACCTTGGTGGAACTAATTTTCGTGTATTGACTGTTACATTGGACGGAGCTTCAGCCTTGATTGACACTGAAACATGTGAGATACCTAGCAAAGTAATGGTAGGTTCAGGTCGTGATCTTTTTGACCGAATCGCTGAATGTGTCTACATATTTATCCGTTCACGAAACATTACGGTTCCATATCTTCCTATTGGATTTACCTTCAGTTTTCCTTGTAAACAAGAAGGTTTAGACTCTGCTAGTCTGATTCGGTGGACAAAAGGATTCAAATGCTCCGATGTTGCAGGAGCTGATGTGGTAAAATTACTTCGAGAAGCATTGGTTCGTCGTAAAGGTGATTGTAAAGTAGAAACAGATGTTGTTGCCATGATAAACGACACCACAGGTACACTTATGTCATGTGCTCATCGTAACCGTGAGTGTCGTGTTGGTCTAATTGTTGGAACAGGAACCAATCTTTGTTACATGGAAAAACTGGCGCGTATCCCCAAATGGGTTCCCAAAGAAAAAGATGAAGATCCTCCACAAGTGGCCATTAACACCGAATGGGGTGCTTTCGGAGATAATGGTGCTCTTAACAATATACGCACAAAATGGGATCTTCAAGTTGATGAAAATTCCCTTAACCCAGGAATGCAACTATTCGAGAAGCTAATATCTGGCATGTATTTAGGTGAAATTGCTCGGCTTATTTTGCTTCATCTTCACTCAAAAGATTTACTCTGTCCTGGTGTCCCAGTTCCCAATCGATTGGCTGTTAAAGGTGGCTTCTCGGCCAAACATTTATCTCGTATTGCCTCACGAAAGGAAGACTCAATTTACAAGGTTTTCACTAAAATGGAAACGGCCGATTTCGACTCTGTAGACGTTGATATTGTGAAACATGTTTGTGATTTGGTCGCTGAACGAGCATCCAGATTGGTTGCTGCCGGTCTTGCATTGGTACTGAAACGCTTGGGTCGTGAAAAGACAATAATCGGCTATGATGGATCCGTAATGAGATTTCATCCTTTCTTCCGTAAACGAGTAGAGCAAAAAATTAAAGATCTATGTAATCACAAGTTTGACCTGATGTTATCCGAAGATGGCTCCGGCCGTGGAGCTGCTCTAGTCGCTGCTATTGCTTGTAGAAATCTTCACTCGGACAAAGTGTTTTGAGAGTGATTTGCTTTAGTTTGAGCCTCATTTAATCACATTACTAATTTAATTTGAATTATTTAGTATATTCCTTGCCCTTTCATTTCCTTTCCCTCCCTTTTCTCTCGTTCAAATGTCTCTGCAATGACATTTTAGTTAATTAGTAATCATCTAATTAATCGAAGCACAAAAGCACCCAGAGTTTTAACATTTGGAAACAGTAAAAATTATCAACAAACTAGACAAAAAAGCCCCATTCAAGCAGATAAATCAAAAGACTTACACAACGAAACGCAAATTGTTGATATTTTAAACTGTTGATCTCAACGCATTCAATTAATTAAGATGAACATCATCTTATTTTGTTCCCTTGACTTTCATTTTCTTCCTCATGTGTAGAAACATTATTACTCAATGATAATTACCATAATAACACTAATAATGATAATGATGATGCTACAATTATACAATAATAACGTTCAATGATAATCATTACAAGGATATCTTAATATACATTAAAACAAAGAGACTTTAGCTGCCTAATTCCCCTTTGATTTTTTGTAAAAGTACAAGCAAACAAAAGTAATAGGATGATTATTATCATTGTTATATTATTATAATATATTTACTGTAATGAAGTTAATTTTCAAACAAAAAAACTGATACAAATTTTCCTCTTTTTTGCATAAAATTGATATATTTCCCAGACGAAAATTGTAACAATTAGAAAACTAATTTTTGACTAAATTTTATTTAATCATTTGCTCCTCTCTCCTGCTTACCAAATTTAGATCCATTGAAATGATTTCAATGTTTTCATCATCCCATTTGTATGATCAATTGAATACAATATTTTAGTTTTTATTTTGTTTTCATGTTCAATTTAATTTCGATTGCAACAATTGTTAAATGTAATGAGCTTTAGTAATTAAGTGTGACGAGTGTTGGACAAAGCCTAGGTGTCTCCAAAGGGTCGATTGATTGTTGTCCGTGTAACAATTTATTTTTGTTCATTTCATTTTCCTTTTATCTAGTCTTTCATCAATAAATAGCTCAATGATTATTCATTTGCGAGATGTAAAAAAAGTTTACAAATTAATAAAATGATAATTTTAAAAATGACTCAAGTACTCAATAAATTGATCAACTGATTGTCGATTGAAGTGGATTACTGGAAAAAGCACAAAACCAGTTTCATTTGTATTATCAACTTGCTAACTAGAAGCATTTAGTTGATACAAATAGCCGATTTGCTTTACTAATGTAAATGGATTTGCTTGAAAGATGAAATTAAAAAAAGACAAAAATTGAATTTACATTTGATCAAAATTGTTTCTTTTTATTTGGAATCTCTTCAATTGATTTCAGTCTAGATAAAATTGAGTAGGAAAGATGGAGTGGAAGAAGATGAAGATGGGAAGCAATTTTTGTGGAAATTTCAGCTTCAATTGAAGCTCAATAATCAGCAACTTATTAACCATTTCTTTACCTCATTAAAACTGCTGTCAATTGGCACAAAATTGGATTGGTTGACTCTAAAAATTGCACATTGGCCTGTACAAATATATATGTTGTATATGTATAATGTTATATAAATATAATCAATTTGTTTCAGTTTTTCTCCAAAAAACCCTCAAATTCATGATTAAATTGAGATAAGAAATGGTCAAAAATGGTTAGAGATAGAGAATGAGTTCAAAGTTTCAACATAGAAAAGGAATTGAACAAAAAAGGTTAATTTCTCACTCTTGTTTTAACAATTGCAACTATTGATTATAAACAAAACTGGTAACTGTGGGTAAAGTTGCTGATTTAGTATCAAATTATGACTGAACCAGTAAAGACTAATCAATAACTGGTAAGTGAATTTAAGGAATGATAACTAGTGAATCAAGAAAGGGAAAGAATAGTCTCATTGTTGCCTTTTCTGTAGGAATAGTATAATGAATGTTAAAAAAAGACATTTCGATTATTTTCCTTGTGCAATTACATTTTGAGCATATTATATTGTACAAATTGCAACAATCAACGGCAACTATCATCCTGTTCGCCATCCTTTTTTGGATTTGTTTTTATTTTACAATGGCTTGATGCTTGTTAAATTGAAATTGACATCGTCTGGCTTCAATTCAGTAAGGTCAGTCAATCCTTTTTTAACCATCCAAGTGTAGTTGTGCTTGGTTTCATTGGATAGTCAAATTGCAGCAACCAGTTTATTGAAATTGACTTGTTTTATTATCCGATTGACATTCTATTGCATTTCCTTTGTGCCAAAATTGCTTTTGCTTGTGCTTTCATTATGGTCGGCTTACGATTCACCATTTAAAAAGTTAATTACAAAAAAAGTTGAGTCGTATTTATATCTTTTACAGGAATGTCACAATTGAGTGTCACTCATATTATCACATAAATTATGTGAATCAATAAAATCTATCAGACTTCGATAGATAAAATCATATTGTGCCTGAAAAAGACAAGTAAAAATGGGAAAAAGCAATTAGTAAAGTCATCAATTGAAACAATTTCTTAATAAACATATAATTATGAATAAAAAGGTAATTTTCAGTTATCTCTCAATTTCCATCAGCGTTATGCGCTTTTTCATGAAGTTCATGCTATTTAGCTTTAAATCATATTTTGCTTCAAGTGATTAGAAGAGTGAAAAGCTGCGATTGAAGATGGAAGAATGTTTGACAATTCAAATTGATTGGTTCCATTCAACAGGATATAGTGTTGGTTAATTGAGAGATTCCTGGTTTACTTTTAAATTCATGCTTAAACTGAACGTACAATTGTTTGAAGCATACAAGGCCTTTGAGATCGAGTATATCGAGCCGTTTGAAAAATATCAACACGTCCATCAGTTCGTATCTGTTGGGTTAATGATGAAAGGGTAACAAAAAGGCTTGACCGATCGCCACCGCCGCTACAATGAATCACAATCGGTGAGGTTGACGAGGAATTACTGGAAAGGGCAACCTCAATTAGTTTAAGAATTGGTAAAGTAGCTTCAGGAACGACTCCACTTCGCCATAACATGAAATGATATTGAGTTAATTTGACCGAATCATTGCTCTGTCGAGTTAAAAGAGAAACAAGAAACAAATATAAATATAATTGTTACAATCGATTATTTTAAGTGAATAATTGAATTAACAGTCAACACCAACAGTAGCGGCAATAAATGTTATTTTAAAAATGGCTTTCAGTGAAAAGCGACAAAAAACGTGAAATTATCAAGTTGAAAGGTTGTCTTTTTGTTTTAAATTTTGGCTTTACAATTGTAATTGAGTTGAGGTAAGTTCAATTTTCAAGTTAAATTGATTTAAGAAAAGCTGCAATTACGTGATTTTCAACACCAAACCTGCAACTAATTTCATTTAACCATTTAATCAGTTACATTTCAAGTAAGTCGCTTTTTTCATTCATTTAACTTGGTTGAATTTTTCTTTTTCTGCACCAATTGATTCTATTTTTCTGTCCTTTTCTCATCTTAATTATCAGGTTTCTTCTTCACCCTTTCATGCTAAACTCAATTTCCCTCATTTTCACCTTTTACTTGTTACAAGTTAAACAAAATAACCTAACGTTGAACTTGTAAACATTAATCCGCTTTTTCAATCCAAACTTGAAGAATTGACAAAAAATCAAAAAACAAAGGACACAAATTGTTGGTAATGAAGAAGCTAACACAAGATTTCAAAAAGCTACTGTCAATTGGTGTTGCTTTATGCCAATGCTACTGTTTGGTGCTAATTAACAGGATAATCCTGAAGATTGAATGTTTCCTGGTAAAGGCTGAACACACCTTAATATTGACAACACTAAATCTTCTTATCATATAATTATCCAATTCCTCTTCACTTTCTGGAATTATTTTAACATAATCGTGAATTTGTTCGCCTTTGGGCCAATAACAGAAGCATTTACTCTGTCCATCGCCCAACTCGGACAGCATAACCAAAATTTTAACATTTTGCTCCAAAATCATTCTCCAAAAGTCCAAAACTGTACTTTCTAAGGGATCTTGAGTAACGATGAATGACAGGCAACGATCATAACCCTGAAAAGTAGAAAAGGAAAACAATTAGAAATCAATTGTTGTAAAAGTGTACAATTAATGAAGTAATGTAATTTACCTGAACAAAAGATGCATTAATATAAGATGAATTTTCCTTGGTAGGTGAAGGCGGTAAAATAACTCTATTAATATCATCTATTGGAAAGAAACAAAAGAAGACATTATTAGTTGATTAAAAGGAGATAATTAGAGTTTTCCAAATTAACGGTAACACGATGAGGAAACTTACAAGGAATAATAAAATCATAGCGATTTTTGCTCATATTCATATCCATTAGGCCAACACAACATGATTTAGTATCTTCAATTACCTCGTTTAATCTCTGTAAAGAGGAGAAAGCAAAAATGAATTGAAAACAAGATTAGAATTGAACATTTAAATGTTAAATTAAATTTTAAAGTGAAACACAAAAGAGCAAAGAAAATCAATTTAACCAATTCTCTGTTGTCAAATTAAAGTCAACAGCGATTCAAGTATCAACAGTAAAGCAATATTTACAACTCTGACCAAGTCTTAAGTCGAATGTAAATCAACTCGAGAAAAATGGTCGAGTGAAAGTTCAATTTGAATTAATGATGATCAAGATGGGAAAAGAAAGCTTTCTCATTTTAATCTCAACGTTAATCATGGAAAAGAACAAAAGAAAAACAAAGAAAAGTCTGATTATGATGATAGATCTTTATTATGATGATCATCATAAACTCAGCCTTTCCATTAAAAGTCTCAACACATTTGGTACAATTGTTGTATCCTTTACACGTTCAGACACAAAAAAAGATAAATTCTGGTGGTTGTAACCATGAAGAAATTGATGAGCCTAACGAACAAGTAAACTCAAGAAATGATATAAAAATGAACATTATCAACATTGACTAACATTGGGAGGGAAAAGATTGAGAAGAGAGAAAAAAAGGAAAATAAAAAATACAATAAAAGATGAGGAACCAAAATTTTTCTTCTTTTCCTTGTTTTCTTTTCTCTTCTTCTTCATATTATATCTTGCCCATTACCTCAATTTTTTGTGTAAAATATCATCAACATGATAACACATGATGAGAACTGTTACTGTTGAGATAACCGCAAAACAATAACAATAAAAATCGAGAAATGCTACAAATAAACAAGTACTTAGTTCTCGAGATTTTTGGGTGAACAAGAAACACAAAACAAATATAAAGTTTGAAAATAAAGTTACTTTCTTTTTTAATAATCTTTCCAATAATCTAATTCAATTGCAACAATATAAAGTGAAAGTAAATCCGATTCAATGGTAAATCCTATTAAAAATCATACCAATTGCAAGATGAAATGAGATTAAACGATTCTGATTAATTGCAACAATTTCAAGCTTATCAAATTTTTCACTCATCAAAGGTTCAATTGTTTCAACTTGATTGATGAACCTTTCTTGTTTTTATCCTTCAAAATCTAGTTCCATATTGATCATCTTTTACAGCTTCTTTCAACTGTTTGTTCAATTTAATTATTTCTCCTGTTCTGGCTGATTAATTTCACTTTTATCAACAATTTAAAGGCAAAGTTTAATAGTCTGTAACTTTGAGAATTTCATATTTTCTCTTTTCCATTCCCTGGTAAAGTTTCAATTTTTCAACAGTCAAAATGGTCAACGTTTCATGATAAATAACACAATTTCAACAGTTCTCATTTTGATAATGATTCCTAGAAACAAGAAAGCAACCAAAAGTAGACTAAAAGGTTGCAACAAGAATAGTAAATCTTGAAACTTTAAGACCTTTTAGCTACACATTTTCAGGTTGATTAAATATTAATAGAGCAACATTGAGAGCAATAAAGTTTATTACCGATTCAATTCAATTGCAACTGTTACGATTTACAGTAACTCAACATCGAGTAATGAATAATCAAATTTTCATCAAATTTTCGAGTCAAGCAACAAAAGTAAAAGTAAAACATGAAAATTAAAGCTTTTAATCCATCGGATTAAGTTGGGTTGTTCAATTTTTTTGCCAAAAATGGAATCAATTAATTGGATTAATTTGCATTATAAAGGCAATCATTATTTTTCATCGCAAGTTGATTGCAATATGTTGAGCAAAATTTGTATCCAACAAGCGACTAAGACTATTAAACAAACATGTTGTTTTAATGATACTCATTATTGGTATTATCAAAGTGTAGTTGGACAAATAATGAGTTTCATTATGAGCTAAAAATGTAAAGACTGAGGTCATTGGAAGATGAGAAAAAGATCATTCATCTTGAATCTCTTTTGGACTGGAAAGCACAACTATTCATGGTCAATTCATCAGTAATGATGGCCATGATGATGATGAGAATGTCATCATGAAAATCATCATAAACCATGTATTAATCATTGTTATGCATTTTATGCAACCAAGTGAATAGTAACTTCTTATTCTCATCCATTTTGACGGAGAAACATCACATTTCACTTTCATCTTTTACTGTTTTTTTTCTGTTCATTCTGCTATAAATGTGTCTCTCCAGTTACAGCTTTTTGCTGCTTCTGGAATAGAAATGACATCTCAGACTTTTACTCGTCATATTTATCAACAGCTTGCTAGGTATGAATACATTTGAAGGACATGAATAACTGAATGAGAGAAGGAAAGATTAGAGTCATTATCAACATCATGATCATCAGAATGTTTTGCATGGTTACATTTTTTCCGCAAATCTATTTGCATAAGTTAACATTGAATCTTTGCCTTTTCATTCATCAACAAAACTGTCAACTGTTTGATTCTGGCAAACAAGCGATTCGATAATTGTTTTATTTCAATGAATTTTGAATATTGAATTTCATTTAAATATCCATGAAGAAGAAAGAAAGAAACTTCAAGATTTACCTTTTGATTGAAAATTTCATGATTGTCTGATGGTAACAACATTGCAATTATTATGGATAAAAGGTAAATTGATGATTAATAATGTCTACATTAACGGAATGATAAAAAGCCTTGAGTTAAAAAGAAGGGTTAAAAGGGAAATTTTTTGACTAAACTTGGTTAGTATTTCATGGTGGAATATGAATTGATGTTAAAATGATAATAAATGAATATTGGAATTTTTTGTTCACTTTTAGAGGTGAAAAGGTTTCTAGGAAAACGAGAGTTAAATATAATTAATGATTTGTGAAAGGGTTTCACTATTGTTTATATTTCAATTATCATTTGTATTCAGATGAATAGCATTGGAAGAAGAGGAAGAAACAGGAAAGAAAGGAAATGAAAAATGAAAAATGGAAATAAAAATAAAAAAATTATCAGGTGAAGATAAAAATTATTAACTTCATTTCAACCCAAAACTGGTCAAAGACAAATGAGCCAAAAGAGAGATAATAATCGAATGAAAAATTTCACGTAAAAATTTCAATTCTTTTCATGTGATGATTAAATCATGAAAAACAAAAGAGATTCAATTTCTATTGAAATTAACCATGAAATAAATTGTGAAAAAACTTCACATTTGCAATTATGCATTTCAACTGAAAGTCAATTGAAGTCAATCTTTTTTTTCACCTCAACTTGAAATTATTGCAATTAGACTTTAATGATTTTTCAATGCTCCATGAATAATGATGACTTTTGAAATATTAATGAAGCTTTTTTATCAGATTGCATTGGACAAGTTGAGACAAAAAGGTTTCTTTGAAAGAAACTGATTTTGATTTGGAAAGGGCAAAATGAGCAAATTATCGGAATGCAAACAAGTAATCATTAAATAGTGATAATAAGGTAAATAAAAGGTAAAATACATTAAATGATAATGATGATGATCGTGAGAACAAAAATTGTCTCATTGATGCAAATAGCAAGTTTAAGAATGTTTAATGAAAATGGAAGAAAATCATTTCTTGGTTCAACAATCAGCATTTCAATGTTAAGGAAGAGTAAAAAATGGTTTGCCAATGTTATTATTAATACACATCCTTAACCGAATCATAGGGATGATCAAGTAAATATGATGATAACTTGATTGTCACTTTTTTCATCTCTGTTTTCATTGTGTTGTACAATACCAGGAATCATTGTGAGAAATGGTTTTCATGGGGAAAGGATGCTGAAGAAAAAAATGATTCTTTTTTCAGGTGAAAAGCAATTTCAAGGAGAAAGATGATAAGACAAACATTATCATCATATTAGGTTGGAGAAAAAGAAAGGAGTTGACATCAACAAGAACTTACATGATGATTTTTTTTCTTCTCCTAACATGTAAAGTGTTTTTGATAAATAAAATTCGGAAATTGATATAATACATAATAAAGAGACGACAACAACAAAGAGATGAACCTTCACAATATGGTTAATAATGTATAAACTGGAAAATATCGGGAAAATGATCAATGGAAGATTGAATGAATCAACGAAAATGATGATGATGAAGGATGAAGAGGTTATGTATACATGGAGCAAAAAAGTGAGGAGAGAATGAAATTTGGATGATTGGAGGGACAAAAGAGGAAATGGAAGAAAAGATTGACTGAGAGAAGATGGAAAGAGGTAAGGATGGAGAAATGGGTAATGGAAGATGAAGATGAAGGATCGATCCTTTCAAATGTTTCTTGTTTAATCAGAGCAATTTTCAAGCAACATGGTTTAGTTTTAAAAGAAAGGAAATGAAAAAGATGAAAATGAAGAAAAAATGGTTCAATTTAAGAATAGATTTTGACTGGATTGCGATAGGTCAAGATGACCACAAGAGCGGTGGTGAAGGGTAAAAAAGATGTTGAAAGAAATGGAAAGGATGAGAAAAGTAGGAAGATGGAGAGGAAGAGGAACAAGGGAAACAACATTGGCAGCAGAAAATGTCAGCAAATTTTTCATTCCATTTCTTGTTTTCTGTTGTTCTTCTTCCATGGTTCTCCTCTTTATCATGATTTTCCTCAACATCAGCACCAGATGCTTTCTTTTTTCCTTTAATTCTTTCATTGAGCACCATTCCATGATAGCAAACTGCATGGTCAGAACAGTTCAAGATGGAAATTCAGACCTTTCAGAATCATTTTTTTCTCTCTCTTCACCTTATTTTCTTGATTAAAGAAGTAAACAAACTTTTTTCTTCTTGCAGTGATTGAGTCAATATTGTTTTTACTTTCAAGACTAAACTGATTGAAATGATAATGGTTCAGATTGATGATGTAGAATAGGAAAGAAAGTTCATGTGGAAATTGAGAAATGAAGAAGCACAATTTCATGATAATTTATCAAGAATAATAATATTTTTAGCAACCAAGTATCAATACGCTAATTGGTTTCATCATTAGGAATCTCATGAATCTCATCTTTCATCTTTTGGTTGGAGAAAAAAGAGGAAAATTAGATTGAAGGAAATCTGATTAAAATTAATAACATGAATGTACAGATTATCTGAGTTCATTAATATTTCAAGATTATTAACCTTGGACTGGAACAATTATGATTCCATGGTAAAAGGTAAGAAAAAAATTGATGATAAATTAATCATTTTACAGTTAGAATGGCCAGTGGATGTTAGTTGATATGAAATTATTGATAAAATATGATTACTTTTCTTATTCATTGTATTATTAAAAGAAAATATTTTTTATCTCATTTTCATGAATCATTTGCACAATGAACAAAGAGGCAAAAAAGTCCAACAGAGTAATGATATTAAGCATTGAACAAGACAATGAACAAAAAGCTCAAGAAAAAAAAATCAATTCCAATAATAAGATTACTGTATTTAGACTCATGTCAAGTCGTCAACAAAGATTGTTATTATTATTATCATTATTAATGTCAATGGAAAGAACAATTCTGAACATTTTCTTTTTCGTATTTTTCATTTATTGGGGAAAAAAAGTCGAAGATTGATTGTGTCGAGTGAACTTCAAATGATGGTGATGATGAGAGTGCTAAATTATCATGAATAAACAACATAAATTGTTAACTTTTTACTTTCGACTTTTTTTCGGTGAAAAGAGAAAAGAGTAAAAAATCTTTTCATCATCATGATAGGAATGTTTCAACCAAGATCATTAGTTATCAACGGGAGGAAACTATTAAATAAATCAATAGGTTAATGTGATTGGGTGAAAGAAGAGATTAAGATTCACTTGGAACCATCAGCTGAGAATTGATTTTGTCTCTTTTTTTGTCTTGCTATTTTTTCATGTTCAATAATGTCAAATTGATATTGTAATTGACTTTAGTAATGAACAAGTTAACATTTTGATAATGACCAATTTACATGGAATGAAGGAAAACATGAAATCAACAGGGTAATCAATTAGGATGATTTGATTAACAAAATGCTGAGAGAGAAAACTAGTTTTCATTGAAAAGAGAAACAATGAGCTACTTGGTTTGAATAATTAAGATGAAAATTGATTGTAATTAACTGACAAGTGTTTACTTTGTTTGTCATGTAAGTTTCAAAGCAATTTGATTGTCATTTGGTAGAGTAACGTTAAACTGGTAATTAGTTGGTTGTGAGAAAATGTGAGTTCAATAAATTCTCAATCAACAGTGGAAGCTGATTAGCAATAAAAAAGACTAGATTCATGGAGAGATGATGAGAAGTAGAGAAAAGTAAAGCAAAAAGCAAGTTGAGATGCCTTCAGGTTATCAAGGGTTTGTGAGTTTATGAGCGAAAAAAAGGTTGAAATGACTTCGATTGGTCAAATAATTAAATTTGATTCCTGCTGAGGTGAGTGAAGAAAATTTTGACTCTTGCTTTTTTGCAAGTCAATGTTGAAATTACTGAACAACATTGAACTAAGCTTTTGGACTCAGCAAGAATGGTCAAGATTTCATGTTTAACGTGTTCGAATGTGGTAAAATCAATAAATTTCATCAACATGGCGAATGGAAGGTAAATTTGTCAAGAATTGATTCTATTTTCGGAGCTTCTGTTTCACATTTTTTTCGCTGTTGCTCAAGTCAATTAATTTTAATCAATCAGCAGGTGAAATGATGGTAATCAACATTGAGGAAAAAGTGGATGCAAAGGAAATGATGAGTAAAATTGGTTTGATTGGTTGAGGGTGAAAGGGTAAAGAGTGTAATAATGGAAAAGAAGTGCAAGAAAAAAAGAGATGAAATTCAATCAAAATGCAAAATTTTGTTCTGATTCAACATGAAAATGTTTGTCGTTGTTTGAAATTTGCATTTAGTTGGATGAAAAGCAACAACAATATGTAATAAGCAATATTAAAGATGATGTTATAGCCTGTAATTGTAATAACAAGTAAAATGGAAAGCAAAGGGAACAAAAACGTTTCATATTACTTGAGGCATTGAATGAACTAGATAAAGAGAAGGAAGAAAGAGCTTTTCAAGTCGTCAAAGTCAAATACTGAAACATTACTATAGCAATTGAAATACCCTGGAATAATCAGTCACAATTTATACAATCGATCTTATTTTTGCTTCTTCTTCTCCATCTTCTTCTTCTTCTTCTTTTTTGGTCTTCACTTTTCCTTTTTAACTATATGTGAATACAATGACATAAGCAAGGTATAAACAAGAGACAGATGAGAATGGCGATGATGATAGGATGAGATGTTGATAATGTTGAAATTGAAATGGAAAGAGAAGAAGAAAATGCAATTTTCACCCAAAATTGAAATTACAAGACCAATTTTTGCAGTTCACAGCGAGCATGAATGATGATACAAGTTTCAATTCCAATAGATACATTGTAAAAAGAAGATTTTTTGTTCAATGAAAGAACAAGGAAAAAGGATGAAGAGCAAAAGAAAATAAAAATTGTTCATCACTTGAAGACGAGTTCAATTTTATCCTTTATTTTATTATTTTTTATGAATTTTATTCTGTTTTGTTAATATCAATTGGAGAAAAGAAAATAAATTTGAAAGCAACTCAATCGATCACACTTTTTCAACTCACACATATTCAAGTTAACATCACTTTTACTCTTCATACTCTTTTGGCTTTCATGTAAACGATTTAAAATCGAATAATGGAGCAGAATATGAAAAGATGAAAAGAAAAGGGTTTCGAAGAGTGAAAATTCTGAAAGATCAAAAAGTGAATTTCAAGTTTACTCGGAAAACAAAAAAAAAGAGGAGAAGCATGAGATGATAATCACTGAAATACAGCCATTGTATTCCTATGTACAGTTTTATCATTAAATTTTAGCTGCAAAATGGAGAGAAAAAAATGTCAGCAGGAAAATTTGTTTCATTTTTCTTCATCTTCAATTAGCTTTTTTTGTTAACTCAAAATGAAAGATAAAAAATGTAATGAAAAACATGAAATAAAGATGATTTTGTTGAATTTTTTCTTCACATTGCAGGGAATGAAAAGGATGCTGAATGCAAAAGATAAACTAATGTAAACGATACAACTAATAGAGAAAAAATAATACAATAATGGTTAATAAGTTTTCCCTTGTTCTCATCTCTTTTTTGCTCTCTCTTGATATATCAAAGTTTTGATCGTAAAATAGGAAAATGATGGTAAATGAGAAAAGGTTGAATATAAATGGTGAATGAGTTTGTTACCTGTTCAATGGAAGAAAGAGAAAAATTGCTGTCATTGACTAACTAATGATGTATATAATGCAATAAATTGTTTAAAAAGTTCAAGTAGAATGAATAAGGAACATGAACTTAATAATATACATTCCATTAATGAAGTAGAGTAAGAAGCTTGGCCAATCCTTAATTTATTATTAAGATTGTTAGGGTTAGTTTGAGATGCTTGTTACGCTTTTCGGAAGCAATCATTTTCCTTCTTCCAGATAATATTTAAATTTTTGTTAACAATTGAAAAAAACGAGAAGAAAAATATTGGCAAAAAAAGAAGAAGAAGAAGCTTAAAATGATGGAAAAAAGTAAACAAAAAGTTAGATCATTAATAATACGTCTTGTATTGTGAGGTTGAATTTGCTTTCGTAGGGAAAAAAATGTCTTACAAGGGTTGACATGAAGACATTCTTTACTCGTTAGGATGATAATGATGGCGATGGTGATGATGATACTGTTATATTTTACAAATAAAAGGAAACTGGTAACATGAGTTTAAACATAAAGGGCGAGTCTACACAACGATTGCGTGAGACACTTTAAAAGCAAAAGGATACAAATAATGTCTTAATTTTAATGATATTTTTGCTAATAATTTATAAACTATTATTGATAGTGTTTCTAATGTTAGTGGTATTGAGCAGTGATTACTTACATCAAATTCAGCCATAACTCCGTTGATGTTACCTTCAAATTTTTGCTCCTTTAATTGACGATAATGATCTTTAAGATGGCAAATTTCAATCTCGGTATCGCCAAATTGGGCAAACTCCATGAGAGCGCGATAGACAAAAATATATTGTTTAAATGATTGAACTAAAAAGTTGCGCTGGTAACGTAATTGAGAGACACACTCGTAAATGTTGATTGAGGTTCCGCAAGTTATTTCAGGAATTAACGAATCAATGGCAATAAATGTACCCGTACGTCCAACACCAGCTGAACAATGAACCAATAGAGGTCCCTTGTCGGGACAATAGTGTTCATTGACACGCTTAATAAACCTCAATAACCATGAAGGTTGTTCAGGGGCGAGAAAATCTTTCCAAAGAAGGAAATGAAATTGTAAAACATCTCTGGGAACTTCCTCTTCATCAGCTGATTCATCACATTTGGTTAAAATGAAACGACGAATTATAAAATCGGAATATTTGGTGCAACTTGTCAGGGTAACGGTGTACAGTTTATCAATCTCTTTACAACCCGAATCGGACCAATACTGGGAACACTTGATTTTACCATGTTCCTCGATTCCGGTCAACATTACAATAACGCTGACTTTTTGTTCATAAATCATTCTCCAAAAATCAGTTATTGTCCTCTCAATGGGTCCTTGGGCACAAATGTAAACCTTTCTTCCTTTATAGCCTTCAACAAAATTGGCGTTTATATAATCTGAACCGGGTTGATTATCAATTGGTGTTAACTTTACTCGCGTCTGATCGTAACATTTGATATCAGGATAACGATTTTTTGCAACATTTTCGGGTAAATTGGAGTCAATTGAGGTTCGATCAGCAAAATTTTCAGGTAATGCCTCAAACTCTGCTTGAAATAAAAGGTCAGAATTGGCATGTCGCTCAATAAATACATTGGGCAGGTTTTGTATTGGAATAGGTTGGCCAATCCATTTATGTCCATTTATTGAACCAATGACACCATTGGAAATAATGTGTCCATTTTTTGTACCCACAACAGTTCGTCGAAGTAATGCAGTAAGGCCAAGGCGTTCATCGTCACCCGTGTCACTGAGAGAGTCGTCGACTTTTGTTCGCAAGAAACAGATCACAGAAAGGACTGAAAAAAGAACCAAAGCAAGGCCACAAACAATACCAAATAATATAGCTGCTGCTGAATCACTGAGAGAGGCAAAGATGGGTGATAAAGGAGAGAGAGAACCTATTCTTGGGTCAAAAGTGCCGGTTGTTATTGGATCAAAGTAATCGCTTTGTTTGGTAATGTAAACATTGTTGGGTCCCAAGACTCGAACCTCAATGAAACCGGTATAATTGGTTGATGAATCCAATGGTCCATCGGCAATCAATTTATCCAATGAAGTTAAACTAATTGTTGAATAATGAGGTCCATAATTTAAATTACCATTATTACTAAAGTTTAAATTATTGTCGTTGCTAGGATTATCAGTGTGAATATTAATGTGTATACTGTTGCTAGGATTAACGGTGTTAACAAGATTGTTACGGTTGTTGTGAATGTCACTTGGTGTCGTCATTATATATCCGGGATCGATTCGCCTTGGTATTCGACCATCTTCACAGGTTGAATGTTCACCATCACCAATAATTATCTCATCAGGCAAATTATCTGCTGACAATTCATCAGCAATGTATGCACCGACAACCGATGAATCATTACTTTGAAGGGAGTCAAATGCTGGTGAATGGACGTAACTGTAGGAAGTTATATTTACATTGGAAGGTGTAGGAGGTAAGACCAGATTGGTTTCGGTGTTCTTTGGCAATTTGATTATCACTATTTTAAAACATTTAATGTGTCCATTTCTTTCAGAAATGCGTGGAATTTTCAACTTTAACTGTCGACAAAATGGATCATCTGGATCAGCTAAGGATAACAGTGAACCAGCACCAGGAATACTTGACGGGACTGTTGGTAATGAATAGCACATTGTACTTTTAGTGATGACACTCAATTCACCGCATCCAGCTTTGTTAAGAGTACATAATCTAACTGTATAATTGGTATTGGGTTTAACATCTAAACTTAAGCTTGTTTCATTGCTTTCAATGGGATAAATTTTCTTGAAATTGTCCATTTCCATTTGATTTTCACTGTTACGGTAGGATGAATGACCCTCTAGTGATACATTATAACCAACAATTGTTCCTCTTGATCTGGAAGGTGGATCCCAGGTGATATTTACTCGATTAGATGATCTCTGAAAATCATAATAGCAGCGAAGAACAACATTTTCTGGTGCTTCAGCAATTCCATCCAAAGTTGACACTTGAAACTTGGGATCTGACCATTTGCCACAACCAAGAGATGAACAAGCTCTAACTCTAACGGTGTAATTGGTAGCAGGAACCAAACCAACAAACATGAACATCAACCTTGATCCACTTCCTCCAGTTTCACGATTGATTTGGAATGACTTGTTATACAATAAACGATCTTCGGCATCACTTAATTCCAGAATGTATTCAATGATATCGGCTCCATTGTCTTCAGGAGGTTTCCTCCATCCAATCCAAATGGTTTCATTGGTTCGAGAAAGCACATGAAGCTGGGTAACCGGCGATGGAACATCCGGTGGCATAGTTACATTAGCTGTAACCCAATCTGATTGGCCGGCATCATTGAAAGCAGCTAAACGAAACTCATAAGAATAAGCTGGTATTAACCGGAAAACGGTATAAGATCCGGTTCGATTGGGCGCAATGTTTCCATCAATTTCTACCCATTCAGAGTCACCAGATTCAGTGATGTTTCTCACTTCAAGGTATATCCTGTGAACCTGGGTGTTACCATTACTACGTAATAGCCATGAAATGTTAACACTTCTAGGATTAATTGGTTCAATGGCAAGTATATCCAATTTAGCTGGTTCAATGACAAATAAATCTAAACGGGAAAACGTTTCATTTGATTTCTCACTAAATCCTCTGCATACATAGGTTCCATTGTCACTTTTCCGTAGAGATCTAATTGTTAAGCTAAATCGGTCTAAATCATCACCAGAAGATGAATTATTGCTGGCTTTAGGTCCTTTGCCATTGTTATTATTATTTGTACCAAGAAATCTTCGATCATCGTAAATTATGGGTTCCCAGAATTCACTTTGTAATGCCTTCTTGTCATCATTATTGCTATTATTGGTATCACTATTATCATAATTATTAGTTTTGGAGGTTATTAACTTCTCCCAAATAACATTTTTTAGAGGAGTATTTACATTAATTTTACACCTAAGTATTGCAGTATCATTCAGTGTTTCCTTAAGAACTTGAGCATTAGGAAACACTTGAGCATTCATCAGACCTGATGACAGAAGTTGTAATGTCAACGAAAGTGTTCATGATGGTCAGCGCACAAGTTGATGAGGAAGAAAATCACAGAAACATAGTTTGCAGACATGATGATAAAGACAATGTTGACCATGAGAAGACAAGGAGAAATAATCACATGGGCATGGATAAGAACGGTGAGCACAGTATTGATGGATGAACAGAGACAAAAAGAACATGTAAAAAGGGGAAAAAGAGAAAGAAAGCAAACAAATCGTTAACGCAAAATCTTGAAATATACAATAAAGAATTTTCACTCAGTCAGATTGACTATAACGAACGTGAGAAAATAGTTTCCAACAATACATTTCTGTTGATGAATCTTACCTTCACTTGGAGATGAAATGTTTAAAGCTCTTGAAAGCATGTAAGATGGAATTGTCACATTGCTAACATTATTGATATTTGTGTTTGATGGTAAATTTCTGTTACTTTGCAAAAAACTACTAAAACTACTAGATGATGGTGATGATGATGGAGATAATGATGAAGATGGTGAAGGTGAGGGTGATAAAGATGATGGTAATGATGGTGCATCAGCTAATGAACCGATAGCAGTCACATTCCGAGAATTACTATCAATATTATTATTATTACTATTTGGAACAAAAGATTTATTATTGGCCACTGTTAAAGGTGATACCATCACATGATTTGGCATTCTTGGTGGTGTTGATGAAGCTGATGAGGAGTAAGAGGTTGAAGACCGATCAACTTCATCTTCACTGTAGGGTAAAGATTCACTTAAAACAAGAAAACATGCCAAAGACCCGACCAATACCAGGGTTCCATGGTGTTTCATGTTGCCTTGAAAGATAAGCCGTTTTAAAGGCCTTTGGCTGAATGGTTAAGAGAAGAAGGAAATGAAAGCAAATCGGATAACTAATATGTTTCATTTAATACCTTCTTCAGGCCTCACACTTAAATAACTATTTATGATCAATTGTAGCAAGAGATCTTTACAAAATATGGTATCCATGTAAGAAGCAATCAGAATGATGTCAAACTTGGTGATTTTTCAATAGTTTTTAACGACAATAGAATTGATGGTGACTTGAGAGATGGAGGTAAGAAAACTGTGAATAACTGTGATGGTATCAACAGAAAGGATAAGAACAAGAACATCAACATTGACTTTCACTTTTTTGACAAAGAGAAAGTAATTTCAAAAGAATTGATGATGATATAAAATAAGGAAACATCGAGAAAGAGAGAGGTAAAATCACGGTTTGATTGATAAAAAATGAGCTATAAAAACACAGAAAATTTCATTAAAATCAGTTAATCCGATGGTTGCACTTTGCTTATATTTTTGATAACTGTAATCCAAACCATGCTGAACACACAGACAATTGTAGGTCTTGTAGTCTAAAAAATGAGAAAATAAAAGAATGAAAAGAGATGTATATAAATAGATATGTTTTGACAGGTAGATGGTGGAAAAAAGGAAGACCTGAACTGTTCTGAATTCATCTGTTCTTAGTTCAGCTCTGAAACTCTAAAAATGATTGTATGATTTTTCCTCATTCACTTCGTCTCAATCAGCTGCTAGACTAGAGTGACATCTATCAGCTTATTTTTAAGTTTTCCTTCGTTTCTCATTTTTTATATCAGCTCATGATAGCTAACTAATTGATCTAATCAAACTAGACGATTTCTTGAACTGATACAAATTTAATTTCAAGAGATTTTCTACCAAAACTATAAGCTAAATTAAGTAGCAAATTGTGACTCAAGTCAATTATGTCAACAGTATCTTCTTTCACCGAACGCGCCATCATCGGTAACGGTAATATAACACGCTTTTCACCTGCTGCTGTTTATCATTTATTTTATATTGTTAATAACTCTATTGTGATCAATTTACTAATTATATTCTTCTTTTCTATTTTTTACATTCATGGTTTTAAATTATCGACATTCAAAGTCGATCGGATTGGTGCAGATAAAAGGAAAGACTAGAGAAAATAGTTCATACGAATATTGGATAACATTATGTGTACCATCGGAATGGCTCTGGTAAACTGGAAAATGCTTATAAATCAGTGATGAATTGTATGCCATTGATAAAACGTAATTAAGAGCAAGTATCTAAAAATTAACTATTGTTGAAAGCTTCATTTACGTGGACAAATCTGGTGAATACAAAAAAAAGCTGAAACAAAAAGGCTACAATTGATGCAAAGAAACAAAGAGATCAAAAGGACAGCCAATGAATGCGTTTTCACCTCTGATTCTATTTCTTTTCTTTTATATTCTCCCTAAGAGACATTTCATCAATTTGGAATCATGATTATTCGAGAAAAAGGATCCAAATAATCAACACGTAGCATGGACATAAAGTAGGACGGAAAACAAAAGCAATGGAAACACTTGAGTGATTTGGTTACCTTGCCTCATCTTTTATATGTTCAACTCAATTTAAACTCACTTACACTGATTTACAGATTGTCTTTATGGCTGCTGCTCTTACACAATTAACGAAAAATCAATAGATTGACAATGTATGCTAAACCGGAGGTTAAAAAAGCTTAAACCACTATGTTTGAGGTAACCAGTATTTAATCAAATGGTTAAATCGTTTAAACGCACACTTAATATATACTTTTATTGGGTTTTTAATCTCATAGTTAATGCAAACTGTTAACTGTGTAAGCACTGTTAACCATTAAAATGTATTTGGTTAATAATTAGGCAAATTAAATTAAATATTAATAACAAAAAATTGCTGGACATGGAATAACTCAACGTTATTACATCATAATTTTAAGCTTTTTAGAGCCTCTTTCCAACTCAATGATAATCGGTTGATTATCAGCTGACCTTTTTGGTGTAACTTTTCTTATTGGTTTAATCAAAGCATTATTAAATTCATAGCTTTCTTTTCTATGGTCAATACTTTCACCATTACCGATTTTACTAACATCATGACTGTCAGCATCTTCACTATTACAATTACCACCGTTATTCAGATCTTCACCATTATTCAGATCTTCACCATTATTCAGATCTTCACCATTATTCAGATCTTCACCATTATTCAGATCTTCACCATTATTCAGATCTTCACCATTATTCAGATCTTCACCATTACTCAGATCTTCACCGTTATTCAGATCTTCACCGTTATTCAGATCTTCATCATCAATATCTTCACCATATTTATCATCATCACCAGCTTCATCATCTTTACCATCTTTACCATCATCATTATTACCATTAACACCATTGTCAACTTGGCCATTTTCACCAATGAAATCTTCACTTATTTCATTCTCATCTCTTTCATTGTCATCATTTCTAACCAATTTAACCGGCTCCAAGCACTTAGATACAGCAACATGTGTAACTTTAGAGTCTCTTATATACCCATTTATTGCGTTAGAAATATGACCTGTCCTTAACGAAATGGTTCGCTGACTGAAGCCCGCTTCAAATAGTGTTGTTGTTGATGTTGCTCTCAAGCCATGGTTTGTTATTCGTCTTCCATCATTAATTTCAGCATCATCAAACATATTTTTGAGTAAACCTCCTATTGTATTGATTCCAAGGATTTGTAATGAATAACATGGACCAGCTTTCTCTTTTATTGGTCGATGATAAAATGGACCATTTGAAACGGGTAAGCATGATATATATTTATCTAATATTTTGTAATATGAATTATCATTATTTGTGTCAAATTGCTTAATAGATTCTTTTCTGATTTTACTGTGTTTAATAATTCCTTGGTCATTTTTTCTTATCATAGGCCAGAACTCAACGAATTTGGTACCATTGGAATCAACTTTGAAAATGAATTGTTCAATCTTCAGATTATAATGTTCAGAGCGACCGCGTAAAGCCAAGACTTTTCCATTATAAAAAAATACACAGTTAAGTAAACCTTTACTTGTTTCCATATCCAAAATTTTCTTATCCCATAGTTTCCTTTCGTCAACTTCATTGATAGTGTCAGCTCTTTTCACCTCAAGACCAATTCCATTACTTTTTAAGTGTTTCAATTTTGCATTCAATGCAACACAAACCGGTGAACCATTTGTCATCAACCCAGGACCATCATAACCATTTGACCGCAATATCCTTTGTATTGCTGCTGCTAGACACTTCAATGAAGTAGGATTGTACTCCTCACCATTTGCATTTCTAACCTCTAAAATGAAACGAGTCACCCATTTATCAACTTCATCTTTCTTTTTCATTCCATAGATACATTCAGGAGGTGATTCACTTTCAGGATCACTTTTACGAGAGGATCGCCAATCAAGCCACATTTTCTTTGCCCATTCATCATGTTTCAGTGTATTTTTTGGTATGGCACAACGGATGAAATCCCTCACTGCATCATCATCATATTGGTGTCCAAATCGTTCACTCATATTGTTGGTTATTTAAAGATAAGTATATTTCAATATCAAACAAATTTTAACACTTAATCAATTAAATTAACACAAATTTCATTATTTCATTTCAGGGAAAATCTGGATCAACTCAGTGGTCAGTGAAGACAAGGATAAAGTGATGACAAGGATAAAGTGATGACAAGGATAAAGTGAAGACAAGGGTAAAGGTGAAAATGATGGTGAAGATCATTATAAAGAAGATGGTTGAGGCAATGGTAAAAGTGAAGATAAAGATGAAGGTGAAATGTGGATCAAAGATGCTTTTTGATCAACATGACAACCAAGGAGAGCCAATAAGTGATAAGTTTTTGTTTTTTTATCTTTTAATTTGTGTTCATAACCTTTACATAGTGGTTTAAATCAGTTAAACCACAATATCTCGAAGTTATGAGATAAACACTCGGGCTACGCCCTCGAGTTTAAATCTCATAACTTCTCGATGCAGTGGTTTAACTATCACATAACAAGTGATCAAGCTTTCCAACCAATTGTAATGGCTCAAACAAAAGGGTTCATTATTAAGCTATAACAGCAAACTCACATATACACTGTAAATGTAGCAATTCAGCTAATAACATTTAAATCTTTCCATCATTTTTCATCATGTTAGCCCCAACACTTGAAAAATTTAATGGTAAAGTCAAAAGGCAAAGCCGATAATCTTAATAATAAATGTCTTAATACTTCTTGAAAAATATATTAACAATTTCAAATAATACCAACCAAATCATTTTTTTTAATATCTTCAAGCTTAAACTTTTCCCTCTTCTACTTTTTTTCAGTTTATCACACACACAACTTTACTTCTGTTTGTTTGTATCTCTATGTTAATGTTGAAATAATAATGTAATATTCAAATGTTAATATAATAACAGGCAACCTTATTCATGATAACATGAGATTACAAGATTGTATATTGTAATATTGAAGCTGAATATATTTTTTGGTTGTTACCATGAAGTAAAGCAGAAGTATAAAAAAAGAGCTTCAACTCAAAGTGAAAGATGATGAAAAGGGAGTAAAAAAGGCATATAAAGAAGAGAGATGAAGAAGAAGAAAAGTCAACTCAATATTGACTTAAAAATGGTAAAAGATAGAGCATTATGATTACCATCATTGGATTCATCATTGGAACCATTCCTGAACCAGAAATGAATCCTAGTTTTCATATTAACTTTTAAACATTATTATTAGTCTTGACCAGTTTCAAGTTGAAATCCAAGTCAAACAAAAAGTTAAGGTAAATAAAAAGGGAAAACCTCAACTAACTTGAATAAGATGAGATTTACGTGTTCATGTTGAGATTCATGTTCAGTCATTATGAAGCATATTGTTGATGATGGTGTCAATCCTTGTTAACTCTGACCACGTCTGAAGACTCTCAAGCTAAAGCATCAAAATGTTGAGACCCAAGAGAGAAATGAACTCTCCTAGAAACTGAATTGACAAAAAAGAATAGAAAAGTTGAAATTAACGAGAAAAAGATTGAACCATTGTTAATCATGAAAGTACAGTAAATCTGAACTTGTGGCGCATACCAAACTACAGGGCGTTTCAGCTATTTTTCCTGTTGCAAAATGTCCATTACTCGACCTCTGAGTGCCCTTGAGCCTGGAAAAAATTTTATGAAAATTTCGCGAATACTCTATTGTCATATTTCAAGGTCAAGATCATTAATAGACATTTTGCGGAAATCTTTCCAATCGACATTCGAGGTCGAAATAAGGTCAAACCTTAATTTGTAAGGTCAAATGAGAGAGTGGCATCAGTCTGTCACGAGTGCTTCGTGGGCTTAAATGCTGTGAACTTTGCAAAATAAAATTATGAGGGATTTCGCTTGGATTTGTAGAAGATAATGAGTGACAACCTGTCTGGTCATGGAATTTTCAATTCTGTTGCTAAGATTTAGAGAGTGATTCATGGACGAAACAGTCGTTTCGCATTTTTGGCTATAGAATTTTCTAAGCCATTTTGAGTTTCCCGATCTACAATTCGTTATAGTGTAAAACAATTTAGTTTAAAAAGCGGTCAAAGAGCGAGTTTATAAGTAACACGATAATCAAATTGAAGCTCAAAAGTCTCATAGGTCTAAAAACCACGAATTACATGACGAAACCATCTGGATCTATTAAATGTGATGAACTTAAGAGGTTTTAAAGGAAAAGTCTTATTTCTTAAACTTGTAGGAAGGTTTATACAAGCAAAAGGATCATCATAAACCTCATAACAAGGCCTTATAAAGGGCAATACAGTGTTAAGGTCACTGCCCAATGAGGAGAGAGTGGAAGAGTCCTCGTAGAGTGACGCTTAAATATACTCATTATATATTCCTCGCCTGGGACCAAAACTGACCACAGTTTTTCTTCACCTGAATATTGTTATTCTAAGTTTACAAATTAGGTTTTTCATTTCTTTGTTCTTTTTCGTTAACAAAATACAAGGTAAGGAGTCACATCTTGAATGTTACAACGTCATACATTTAACAACATATTTTTTGTATATCTCTCTTTTTTTCAGACGATGAGTAGAATTCCAAGGTTTTCTGCTGGTGGTAAACGACTTACCACAAGGGAGGATGCATTCATTAACCAAAACGATCAAAACAGTTGCAATGGAACTGTAATTGAAGAATTAGGTATAATTGGAAGAAATTCAACAGACAATTCATATCAATTTCATTTCATGACAATTCAATCATATAAAAGGAAAAGTGTTATGGTTTGGGTGGTGATTTCGTTCAGTAATAAATCGGGATGCTGTTAACGGATCTGAAGTCATGATCAATTCGTTATGCAACATGAATAAAATACACAAACTAATAATTCGTAATGAAATTCATCGTTATGATAAAATTTCACGTTTCATCAGGATTCCGCTCCAAGCCATGCTTTGGCAAAAACTGTATAGTCTTAAGACCATATTCATCATATCCATCCATATCAGAACGAATTTCCACAAAATCGCAATAGAAGTTCTTGTCTTCATGGACAACTCCATTTTGCAGATTAGTTACAGCTAACGACAGAAAATTTAAATCAATTAATTTCTAACTTGAACTAATTTCTGCTAAGTCTATTCAAAACTTTGCCTCATATTATTATCTCCAATCTTTTGTAAAAAGAATAAATAGACGAAAAAGAATCGATTGATGTACTTCAAAAAATATTTTCCTGACGATTTGACGAAATGCAAATTTAAGGCCACAAATGATTTAATCAGCCATTTTTTATTCATGTAAAAATTAAGTCTTTTATCTTTCATCTGATACTACGGTCGTAGTTCTGCAATACGCAGATGGCGTGCAAATCAATTTTGCAAAAAGTGTGAATACAATGAGAAAATCATTATTAAGAAGTCAAAATTTTTCAAAACAAATTCATTCATTTCATTCTTTGCATTTGTGTCTGAATGTACTAGATTTGAGCACCTCGAGTGATTGAAAACTGCATACTTAGTCACGACTCTTAGTTACAAAAAAGAATTTCATATCAGCACTTCTTTTAGATAAAATATTTCAGTTTAATTTGGTACATTACATGTTTCGTACGTTTGTCCGTAGTGTCCTCAAATTTCGAAATCAATCTTGGTCTTCACTTGCGTTTCGACATGTTCCGCGTGCTAATCCTATTATACCCTCTGTGGGATGACATTTAAGACTTTCTGCACATGGACACTGGACAAGATATACATGATCCTTGAGAGGTTGTTTTTGTTCCTTCACATTACAACCCTCTGTCTTTTTCTTCAATTCCTTGCATTTACCAACTAAAATGTTAAAAATATCATTCTATATCAACCTTATCTAAGAAAAGTTCCCACAAGTAAAAAGTATCCCTTGAAAGGTAATTGGCTCGAGAAATAAGAAAATCATAAAAAAGAAAATACTTACAAAAATTCGCGATTTTTACGCAACATTCGTCCTTTTGGCACTCGTCATTAATCCAACAGTTTTCAAACGATTCACTAACAATTATCTGCAATTGAAAACGTAAAAATATAATTTTGATACATTTTACATTCGATTTTGATTTTCACAAAAGACAAAGTAAAACTCACGCCAAATGCGAAGTACATAAGTAAAAAACATACGAATGAAAGATTCATTTTCGGTACAATAAAAATTGCAATTGCTTTAGAACTGAAATGTTTATGTTTGAATTGAAAGAAAACCTGCATGCGGTAGCTTTATATACTTGCGTTTTATTTAAACAACTTAAATGTAAAAGAATATTCGTTTTTTATAGATAAGATGATATGGATGTGGTGACTGAGCAAACACGTTAGAAATTGTTTACGTTCATTTAACAAAGCTCTATAGATTGAAAGCAACTTATGTTGGTACTCATGAAAACACATGAAACGAAAAATTTCCGCTTTTATGCTGTTTCTTTTTCCTAATGAATTGAAATACTGTCAAATCAGATCATGTAAAAAGATATTGTACGCAAAGACCTGGATTTTTTGATAATTTGGATTCGATTTCAAACTTCCGTTCTCCTTTTAAATTATTTATTTCCAATTGACTCACCTGATTGATAATTAAATAAGAATTAATTTGATATGGTAGTTGAATTACTATACAAATCATGAAAACAGCAAAATGTTTCCGGATCCCTCATCTGTGTCTATGTAAAAGATTTCTATCAATTAACCTCATCTGTAACCTGTGATTTTCAATGCTAATTGCTGTGTAGTTGCTTATCGATTAATAACCAGAATTAAATAAATTCAAATTAAGGTTAGATTTTTCAAAATAAAATGGTTTGTTTACATACTTCACAAATGCCCTATTGATTCAGGCACTGGTTACAGGAGGTGGATTATTTTACCAAACATTCGTCTAATATGTAAAGAAAAGGAAAAAAATCAACCAATATTTTCGCAACTGGAAAATTAATAAGTTAAATGATATTATTTTTTTATCCGACACTGAATAGTTTTTTTACTTTGTCATTTACCGTCTTCAAACTGATGTTGACTCTTATTTGTGAGTTACCTCAACAGTCGGATCGTTTGTTAACGGTGAGTTTATTTACAGACAAAAAGGGTCAACATTGAAATCATTTACCAAGTCGTAAGAGTTGATACAGAGTTTTCCTACCGAATTCACCAGTTTTTCCATTTGAAAAAGTCGGTTTTTAATCCGGATTAAGAAAGGGTTTGAAGCAGTCTAGTTAATCTTACAGTTTCCATTGCTTTTAACCTTTTTTCCGAAAGAAAAAATCTGTGTATGTCAATTTTCAATGACAATTTTCTGAATACAAAGTGACTTGTATTTAATCATGTTTTTGTGGTAAGAATACGATGAACATCGGATAAAAAATTTTTGTATTGACGGCTGTGTGAATTATTTTTGGCTAATGAAAAATGAATCAATAGAAAAAAATAAACGAAACTTGACCAAACACTGACAAACAAGGTTATGGTTACATGAGTTGAAATTCTGATCTTTTCTTTTGGAAAAAGTTGCATTGCAATGGAAACGAAAAGATTAACCTATTTTCTTTAGGCTTTTTCTAAAGCCCGGATTAAAAACCGACTTTTTCAAATGGAAAAACTGGTGAATTCGGTAGGAAAACTCTGTATCAACATTGTAGCTCCAATACTTTCATTATCAGTGTTATTACATTATTTTCATTGTTAATGTACTTCTACTGAGAATTTGCCAAATATCAATGAGAATTGATGAAACAAAATGAGTTGAACAGAAAAAAAGAGCCAAAATTTAACCTTTAAACAGAATTGATTCCAATTTGCCTCAATATCAAACTAGAATTTGAATTTTCCATAATCCCAAGATTCTTGATGCTCACAAATTGTTTGACTTTCAAACCTTTACTTTTTGTTTTACTTTCACTTTTACTATCTTTATGGGGAAAATGCAAGGGAAAGGACAAAATGAGTTAAACCAGAATAACTCATATTCATTGGACTTGAAACCAGATTTTACCATCTTCATCATGTTTCTTCTTATTGTTAATCAGATCTTGGCAAGGAAACAAAAAGCGAAATGTTTCTCTCGTTTACCCAAAGAGAAGTTGCCTTTTCCAGTGAATCAATAATCAAATTGCATGATAATTGTAAAATAATTGTTACTGTTTACTGTTAACGGTTATTAAGCTTTTTTGTTCTTCTCTTCATCTTGATTAACTCAGGTCACAGAATCTTTTGAAATAAAAGGAGAAAAGAAGAAGAGAAAAGTAAAAGAAAAAGAAAAGAAAAATATAAACATCAATCGATTGATATAATCAAGTAAAGTCAAGAACCTCGATTCTGAGTTGCCTTGACAACCCTTCTTGTTCATCCTCATCTTCATCTTCACTCTCACTCCATCTTACATACTGAATACTCAAATACCAAAATAATGTATTTACTTTTGTCCAATCAACAATTTGATTATTTTCTCATTTAAAAATCATTTCCATCATCATCTTGGATTCCATTTCAAATCATTTATTTAACAACGAATCACAATTCATCACCAAGCAATCCAAGGTTCAAATTGTCAAATGATTGAATAAACTCTTCTTGTTCCAATCAAATATTCAGATTGAATCGATAGGATTTTTCATCATTTTTTGTCTGTTATTAATTCATTTTGCATGGAGAATGAAAAATAAGTGAAATGAGAAAACTTTCATTCTTAATCAACCTTCTTTTACCTTTTGATTGAACACCTTTGTCTGTGTTTGTTTCGTACAATTATCACACAATTAACATTCCTACAATATGGAACGGAAATTTGCTGGAAAATGAGATTCCACTGAATTTTCAATTAGTATCACCATGCTATAATTAAAATGAACGGAATGAAGAAAAGAAATTGAATCATGAAAAATGTTCACAAGTCAAATAAAAAAGTGTGACTTAAAAGTCGCCAAAGGCTTTTTTCATTTTTTTATTCTCTTCTTCTTACCATCAATATCCAGTTTGGGTTCAATATTTCCAAAAGCATCAAAATTCGTTAAATGACGAAAAGAAAATTTCATATTTTTTCTCTTCCTTCACCCAATATCCAAATATTGAATTTTTCTTCTCTAAAATTTGTAAAAGTCAAACTCTAGTTGAGTTTAAACACTGAATCGCCTCTTTATGTTAATAATTGCAGAATCAGCTGCATTCATGAAACCTCCAATATTGAATAGTTAATTATGTTGATCAGCAAACCTAAAGAACCCAAACTTTCCCTCTTTTAGTCATTAAACAAGACTAACAGATAAACTTATCCACTTGGACTATGCGACTTGAAGTAAAAAACATCCATCTTTTTTATTCCTTTGCTTTTCGATGAACCATCGATAACTTGCTTTAAATTAAATTCACATTGTAATATGTAATCATGATCATCTTAATTAAACGGTTTCATCTTCAACTCTGAATTAACCGTCAATCGATTCTCTTTTCTCTTTACCATGAAAAGCAATTCCTTCAGTTTAACCTTCCTTTCATCTGGTATAATAACATGATAACATTGTTTACTTCACCAGTAATTAACCCAAAGCTGATTCCCATGAGTTTCAAACTGATTCAAGACAAGATATGAAGAAAAATGAGCAAATAAAATGGAAATAAAAATTAGAAGAAATTATTCCTCTTCTGTTAACATTATCATCAAATCTTGTTCACCATCTAATCTCTCATTTTGTTTACACTTGAACATCGCCTTCCACCGTTGTTATAAAGCGAAATGCTGAAACACACACTTTTCCATCTTATCATGATGAAAGAAAATGTCCTTTGCTTGACAGAGCGTAACAGTTGGAATGAAAGAAGAAGAAAAAACGAGAAGAAAAAAAGATGATGATAAAAGTGCTATTAATATTGTATCACATTGAATAACCATTTTCTCATCATCATTAACATCATCATCTTTACCAAGAAAAAAAGACAAATAATGAATAACATTTTTACCCTTTTTTGCTCTCCACTCGCTATCACACAATTTTCACTCCCAGGTTATGGTTAATCTAATATTTTTCACTCTTGCCTTTGAAAAAAGTTTACATTTAACTGAATCTCAATGCTTCAGGCTGCATGCAAAATTCATGACTTGAAAGTTGTTCACAGTTTTTGTTGATTTAGTCAACTTTCATCAGTTAACTGTTTACTAAACTAATAACAATTGAGTCTATATTAAAGGTTAAATATTGACACAAGTTGAATGTTGAGGAATTTTGATGGAAGAGGAAATCGCCATTTTTTGCACTTCAACTCATTGTAAAATCATTTGTAATTTGCTTCTGAATTTAATCACAATTAACAGTCGACTGTTTGGAAACATTTTAACCAGTTTCATTTGCTTTTTCAATTCTTTTCCTTCATTGTTTAAACAAGTTTCAACATTGATTCCAAGTTGATTAATTTTTCATTTCATTTTGCAAAATTAAAGATTCATCTTTAATAATTCTTGATGAGATTATTCAACAATTAGATTTACCTTTTTTCTTGCGTTTTGCTTAACGTGCTTAGTCAAGACTTGGAAATGATGAATGAAAGTCAGATTAATGAATAAGGAGGGAAAAAAGATTCAAATTATTCTCATTATCATCTTAATGACATTGGTAAGATTAAGAAGGTTTTGTTAATTAACAGATTGCAATTCATGTTCATTTTGCCAACAATATTCAACCTATTTTTACCTTAATTTTGGGTTTAAAGTGTTGAGTCTAAAGTTGATTAAAGCTTACTTTTGTTGTGAGCCAAATGGTTAAATTGCATTAATTGCGCCAATATTTCATTCTCATAATCATTAATTTCCATGTGATAAATGTTTAGTTAAAATTTGGAAACATTTTGCTTTTCATTTGAACCAATTTTTAACTTGGAACTTTCATGATCATCAATTTCAGAAGTTTAATAAAGCTTAATTTTATTCCTTTGTTTCTTCTTGTTCACCTCTAATTGATGGATTAATCAATTTGATATAATTGAGTCTATTTTTGGATTGGAAGCTGAATTTGGATGAAACTTGAATAAGATTAACTGGAATGATTAGTAAATGACATTTTCTTGACATTTTTTTCTTCAGTGCCTTTGCCTTCCTTCAAGATGTAATGTTGATCCAATCAAGATTATTCAGCAACTAAAATCTCGAAACTGTTCAGAAAATTCTGAATGTCAAACTCTGAGAGATCGCGAGTTCTATAAGTTAGCATTATCTGCTATATC